TGATTCAGAAGTGCCAGATTGTCATAGCAAAGTCGGAATTTACCTATTTAAATACTTAAACTAATAACAAAACATACTTACAGTCGCTGATTGCCAGTGCCAGATTGTCATAGCAAAGTCGGAATTTACCCTTTTTTTTTCTTTTTTTTTTTTAGAAACAGCCTTTGTGCACAGCCAGCCCTCTTCAAGGTTCTTCCAAAGAGAAAGGAAAAATTGAAATTGCATATGACCCCTTTAACTATAGTTCCTAAATTTTCCCGCAAACTTGCAGTCGCAGATGGAAGTATTCTATCCCTAACACATAGAACAATGTCCAGAAACAATTTAGATTTAATTTAAAACATCATTAAAGTGATTTTTTCATTCAAAATGTATTTTTCTTAAGCCAATTTATGGCGTAATTAAGTAATTGTGCAGTAAAAAAACAACAAAAAAAACTACCAAATATCCCCCAAAACGCAGCATAAATGTATAGTTGAGGAGTAAATAAAAAATGCTATATAGTTTGTTATATAAAAAAACCAGAAACAATTTAGATTTAATTTAAAACATCATTAAAGTGATTTTTTCATTCAAAATGTATTTTTCTTAAGCCAATTTATGGCGTAATTAAGTAATTGTGCAGTAAAAAAACAAAAAAAAAAACTACCAAATATCCCCCAAAACGCAGCATAAATGTATAGTTGAGGAGTAAATAAAAAATGCTATATAGTTTGTTATATAAAAAACCGTAACGTTATATTTCCTTATGCAATCGCTCTGTAAAAGTTTGTAATACTACACTAGTATAGGAGTCGCACAAGAGGCACGATCTGCCCTGCCGCACCTTAAACTCTGCGATCGTGATTCCTCGGTTGAATCTCCGGTTCACCTCGAAGGAGCTGACGGTGCTGCTCACCCGCACGGACACGGTGGGGTTGGTGATGACTGTCACACTCCCGTCCATCTTCCGTTACTAACCAAACTCTGATGCTGCTGGTCTGGTCGAGCTGAAAATCAAAAGGTGTGTTTGGTATTCATGCAGCAGTTGTAAGACAACAGTTATTTTGTCATGGCCTCCACTTAAGGTTTAATATGTGCTATATTGCTGGTTGCTATGGCTAGCCAGTATTTACATGCACTCACGTGACAAGCTCTCACTTTATTCACTGCTTCAGTCAGCTGTTAGCACGTTCCGTTCTCACCAGTTACACGCTATCCGATATTTTAAGGGCTGTAGTCAGAATTCAAACCAACAAAACCGTGTCTCTTCTTCTTGTTTTAGCTCGTAAGAAAAGCTCTTCCGTCAAATACCACACCACTTGATTCTGGAAGATTCTGCCCACCCACATTGACTTTTGAGCCAATAAAAATTGGCAATTGGGCGGGACCTTGGATTCAACTAATAGGAAAATGTTATCATGCTTTCAGTGGGCGGGGAAAACGTACTCTGTCGAATCGGGCTGTTCAGTTCTACGGTTATTATCCAATCACTATTTGTTTTGTTGAAGCAGACCGCTCCCAAAGATGCATGATGAACACATGCTTGCAGTACTGAATGTATTCCACACGATGCTGCTAGAGTTATTGTAATAATTACTTCTAACTAAATATAAATAGTACAAAATTAAATGCTACTATAGTTACAACTAGCTACAACTAACAATGAGAGAGAACAAGTGTTACATTTTTGATACATTAGTTTAATGTATTAACATTATTTACCTTGAACTAACAACTAACTAATTGTTACTTACTGGACCCATTTTAAAATACCTTTGAAGCTGAAATAATTTAAATACACATTTGCTAGAGTGTATATAAATATATACAGCAGGATAACCAAGGCACATTTAACTATCTACTACTAACCGCTACTCATTTTCAGATGCCTTGACTGCAGAACATGACTGGTTATGTTAAAAGGCAAGTGTGCACAAGCAGAAGGATCAAAGGGTTAGGGGTTATGGGATGAGAGGATAGAAAGTTGTAGGATGGGGGTGACAGACTACAGCCCGATCCCCCGCCTTCCTGAAAATAAAGTTTACATTCTTGCAAAGAGATGAGATGGAGGTACAGAGCTCTGCCTCATCTCATTCTGTCCTTCTGCTTCCAGGTGTGCGTGTCCTCTTTCACATTTAAACCCTTACTCTTCCTGTCCATCCAGCATGCAAAGTTTTGAAACACACACACACACACACACACACAAAAACAATCAATGTTGGTTTCATTATATAACTCAGGACATCTCACAACATCTGTTGTCTCAGGTGAAGTCTCTTACAGACACTAATCCAAACCAGTCATGAAACATCATAAATGGTTTATAAAAATTTGACCTTCAGATTTATCAAAGACTTCCAGACATGCTTGGGTTCATTACAGTAAGTTTCGATGCATAATTTGGAGTGTGTTCGGTAGGCCTATAGATAGATAGATAGATAGACAGACAGACAGACAGACAGACAGACAGACAGACAGATAGATAGACAGATAGATAGATAGATAGACAGACAGACAGACAGACAGATAGATAGATAGATAGACAGACAGACAGACAGACAGATAGACAGACAGATAGATAGATAGATAGATAGATAGATAGATAGATAGACAGATAGATAGACAGACAGACATATAGATAGATAGATAGATTTAACAAACTTTTAAAGTGTAAAGGAATTGCAGTCTCTAAAAATATCCTTCATACTGAGAGCCCTGGTCATTGAAGTTTTTAGCATTGTATGAAATTTTACATACAACTTGTAAAATATGTTGTTGGATGGAATTACATTTTTAATAAAATCATGTCTAATTAAATCTTCATGTCCTCATTGAGGTTGAAAGCAGTTGAATGCACTAACAAAAACTTGTGAGGCTTGTGTATTGTTTGTTTCTCAATGGGAAACGAATGTGGTTTGGATAAAAAGGATTGCACAATGGTAATGAAGGAGCCAGGTTGAAATGCAGCAGGCCTGTGGCGGTGGATGTCTAGATGGGGGAGGTCGACGAGACGCAGGGGCGTGACGCCTCGCTCTGCAGCAGCGCTCACTCGCCTGCGGGAGAATGGGGGAGAGAGACACAGAAGGGGAGGGAGGAGGAACTTGAAGGAAAAAAGTTAAAATAAAAATGGCTTCCTTGTCTTTGGAGTCCACAGAACAATCTGAAAACGGCCCAAAGGAGTCCACGCAAGATGAAGCCAAAGTGAAAGAGGAGACGGATCCGGACGAAGTTTCGGAACAACTGCTCCAAAGCTTCCAGAACTCGGCGCTCAGTTTTTCCACCGATCAAGTCGCGTGTCTGTGCGAAGCGCTGCTGCAAGCGGGCAATGTGGATCGCCTGTGGAGATTCCTCTCCACCATCCCTCCTTCGGCCGATCTGCTACGTGGCAACGAGACCCTGCTGAAGGCCCAGGCTCTGGTCGCTTTCCACAAGGAGGAGTTCAACGAGTTGTACACCATCCTGGACAGTCGTGACTTCCACCCGAGTAACCATGGGTTCCTGCAAGACCTCTACTTGAAGGCGCGCTACAAGGAGGCTGAGAGGTCCCGGGGTCGCAGTCTGGGCGCCGTGGATAAATATCGACTGCGCAAAAAGTTTCCTTTGCCCAAAACCATTTGGGACGGAGAGGAGACGGTGTACTGCTTCAAGGAGAAGTCGCGCAGCGCTCTGAAGGAGTGTTACAAGATCAACAGGTATCCCACTCCGGTCGAGAAGAAGAATTTAGCCAAAGTCACCGGACTTTCTTTGACTCAAGTCAGCAACTGGTTCAAGAACCGCCGACAGAGGGATCGGACCCCCTCCGGCACCAACAGCAAAAGGTAAGCGCATTGTAGCAAGTATGTGAACAGTGATTTGTCTCAGGCCCGAGAGAAACATTCTTGAGGCCAATTGAGAGAAGAGAGCCGTAAACAAACCACTATTGTGTGCGAGGTTTACACTAGAACGAGTGTGTAACCTAAAAACCTGGACAGATTCTGAACAGATTGCCCGCTTCTGATGGAGGCTGTTACATTCACAGTAGGTACTCTTCATAAAGGCCTAGTGTGTCGCAGATGATAGATTATTGTGTTTAATAAACTCTTGAACATAGGAAACTTTTTTTGAGTTTGAGCACAGATGAGAGATACAGACGTGAAAAGTAAAATATTTGGTAAATATTTGCCATGCATTCTAATTGTTAAATGAAGTGTCTGACAAGCAGGTCTTAGAAAACATGGCTGAAAGCATGTTGCTTTGTTGTGAAATGTGAGATAGGGGCGCCAGGAGTGGCTCGGGTTTCCTGAACTCCTGCACCACAATGTCTTTCTGCAGTCCATGGATGGTTAAATCTCAGGGCAGAGAGGACATTGGTTAAAAAAAAGCTTCATTAAGATGTAAGTGTAGTAGCTTACTTGTGAGGTAAGCCACACTTAATATAGGAATTTCTTTGTATTAGAATTTCTTATCATTAGAAAAATATCAGAGAGCATCGTTGTTTTTTTGCAGTCTTGTTGTGTGTGTGTTATCCCCTCATTCAATTCAATGAAATTATAAATTTTAAAACATGTTTATTATCACTGCAGCACAGCTTGAATCTGTTGCCCCCATTATATATAATTGCAATCACATTTTGTTATGAATATAATACTTAAATTAAAATTGTTTATCTACATAAAAAGAGAAACGTACTATGTTAATGCTACAATTATCACAAATATTTTGGAAAGGTTTAATCAAATATAATTACGTTAAATATAGTTGACTTCGATTTGGTCCATGAGGCATGAATTAATGGAGCCAAAATATCTAAATGTTATGCTTGTTCCCAAAAGTACATGTACATATGCAGATGCCTATTCTGTGTATTTTCATCAGCAAGATATAATAGAATGGAAAATACAAATACAATTTAGTTTTCTAGTATATGTGTTTATTGATTTTAAATTCATTTCTAAAACATTATGCTTCAGATGTTAGAACAATATTCAGCAGCCATTAATAATGTACATGCATGTTTTTTTCTGTAATTTCCTCACTGCAGCACATGCACGTGGTGACAGGTTGGCTAAATTAAACAAATTAATTCATTTGAATGTTTGCAACTACAAGACAAGAGTGTCAGTGACCATATGCACTGCAAGTTAGCTGGTTTCTGTTGAACCACAAGCTTCACTGGGTCTGGTTTGTAAATAATTTAGGTTTCTCCTCTATTGATACAGCTGTCAAAAATGTTTTGGATGATTGATGGTAGACATTCATGGAAACTACATTTAGACTTTTTGACCAAATGTAATGTTTGTCTTTTCTTTAGTGAATCTGATGGAAACCACAGTACAGAAGATGAAGCCAGCAAGGGAGAGCTGGATGATATTGCTGACAAACCTGCTGCTCAAGAGACGGGCAGCTCCAGTGCTTCTTTTATATCACTCTCTGGGGCTCCTTGCAGTACTGGTCAGCTTATTCTCAACAGCACCGGGGGATTCTTTACAAGCTCTCATCCACTGCTGCTCAATGGGAGCCCTATACTCTCAGGGGCAGGAACAGGGGTCATCATCAATGGGCTGACACTGAGCGATGGCCACACAGTCACTCTCAGTCCTGTTACAGCTAATGCACCATTGCTACTAAATGGGGCTCAAGTAATCCCCAAAGATGACCGGGGCATCAATGATATAGAGGCCCAAGGCAGCCTGCCCACAGTGGTTCTGAATCCACAAGCCAGTCTAACTAGCACAATACCTCTCTCGCTCAGCGAGGACGCAAAAACAGCCAGCAGCAACGTCTCTCCATTGGATTTCATCAGTCTTCCAGAGGCCTTGAAGAATCCAAGTAACACTCCGTCACTGCCTACAAACTCAATGTCCTCACCCACCATCTCTACTGCTGTCATCTCTCCCACGTCTCTTCCTTCAGTGGCACTGGTCCCAAATAGTATTCCTGCATCAACAGCTGGTTCCATGAGTCCAGTCATCTCCAGTCACATGGTGCCACTACTGCCCACACAGCCACCTGAAATTGTTGTAATAGGAAAAGCTGAGTCTCAGTCACCAATTCGCAGCTCCATCTCTAGCCCTCAGGTGCTGTCTTTACCCCAGGTGGTTCCATCAATACAGGGCGTTCCAGTTTCTCAACTGATGCAGCATCCATCTGGGGCCACAGTGTCATCCTGCCCCCAGCTTGTTCCAGTCTCCCCGGTCAATTCACAGTTAGCCCAAGTCCCCATTCCTCAGTTTCAGACACAGACCTTGCACATTGGTCCAAGACTTGCGCAAGCACAGCCCCAATATGGCTCGAACACATTAAGCACCAGTAGTGCTTTATCACTCCCCCAGATGGCTGATGGGCAAATTACACAAGTGCTTACACCTCAGCTAGGAGATGAATCTACTTCAGCCACCCTTCCACAGATACAGACCTCCATGGGAACACAAGTCATTCCCATCTCCTCGCCGACACAAGTTGTGCCCATATCCCAAACCAAAGACTCGGGCCAACCTCAGCTGGTCCCCCTGTCACTGCCCCAATTTATGCCTGTGTCATCCATTGCGGGAACTCCAACTGGAACCCTGTCCTTTCCTCAGGTGGTCCCAGCAACACCATCTCTCTCCATTCCGTCCCCTGGAGGTGCTTTCCAGATTCTGACATCTGGATCTGGAACAGGATTGAGTGTTGCCCAAGGACCGATATGCCTTAGTCCAATAGGGCCTCCCCAGAGTGTCCCTACTGGTACCATCCCAGGTGTTCAACTTCTCAACTCTGGGGTGATTCACCTACCTTCTGCCTCTCCAGGTAGGTCACAAAAATAATTTCATCAGGAGTGGAAAACAGTTGCTTGTTTGGTTCTGAAATGCATTTATTCTGTTTTTGTCTCCAGGCAACATCCTACTAGCAGGTGGCATTGGGGGCAGCCCCATCCTAAGTGTTCAAAATGGCAAACTCATCCTCACTATCCCAGCTGGCATCCAGTTCACCAGCATGCCTGTCAAGTCCGTCCCAGACAATTTGGTCTCAAGTACCCTTGACCCTCAAACCTCAGCTGTACATCCACTTGAATATCAACCAGCACCTTCACTCACTGCTCAAACCTCATATTCACTACAATCATCTCCTTTGGGGTTTGTTGGCTCCTCTACACTTTACTGCAGCCCTGAGCCAGGAACAATTGCCAACCCAACCCCAGGAGCCTCTCCTGACATTCCAGACTCTTCTAGCACTCCCACTCCTACAAGTGTCCTACAATCCCAGCAGACCCTTAGCCCTGATAGCATGCTCCCGCTCAGTCCAATATGTATCGGTGTGGGAACTGGCCACCAACTCTCTCAGCCAGCCTGGAGCCCGTTGTCCTCCTCTGCTGGTCTGACATTATTTGACATGCGTGGGAAAGGAGATCTCCCAGAGGACCCCGCTTTGTTAGGTTTGCCAGGAGGAGAGTCCCTCCTGTTGGGCACTCCTCCTCCAGGCGAAGATGTAGAGAGAGATTCTCAGCTGGATGAGGTGGAGGACATGGATGGGGACTCGAAAATTCTGACACAACTGCAGTCTGTCCCTGTGGATGATGACCTGGGTTTGTAATCGCCAGTCCTTCTGACAAACTTCAAGATGCAGTTAATGTTAAATCTCAACCTGCAAGACTTGCATTCGACCATGTCCCAGAAGTGAGAGGAACTGTGATTTATGACCTCAGAGGTTTGGAGTCTTTCCCCACTCTTCCTTATGTAGATGGAGTTTTAAGTAGCGGAAGTATTCAACCTAATAATGGAATCGTAGAAAAGAACCTCTCTTTTATAAATGGAATTCATTTGTGAAAACTATATATTTAGCAAGGGCATGACCATAGAGGTCTAACTACAGTAGAGGGAAGGCACTGCCATTTTGTCACCGAGAACATTTGCGTAACTAATATTCACCTCTAGGAATCTAAGGCTGTGTCTACATGTTAGCCCTTTTTTGATGATACACATAGCTTGAGGCATGTTACAAGGACTTACATGACTCCCTAAGTGGTAAAAAGGCACTAATATGTCAGAGGCAATCAATTTGTTTTATCTAGGAGTGAAGAGCATGTGGGAATGCCTTCTTTTGTGCCTTACATTTTTGTTACTTCTCAGTTTTGTAGATTAAATGACTCTGACAAGTACTTTTATCTTTTAAGAAGAGAAACAAGTCATATTAGGTTTCCCTCTGAGAGGCAATATAATAGAGGTACATGTTTATGCTGGTCACAAAACTGTTGTCTTGGAGTGAAATAAGTCAACTCAAAAAGTATGAAATGAGTCTGAACATGAGCTAGTCATCCTGTCAGACATCCTGCACAGGTGGCTCCCAAAGATACCTGGATGCACCAACAGCACCCTGCACTGGGAGAAGGAAATCAGATTTCAGTAAACTCACAACACTGGGTGGAAGAGAAGACTTGGTTGACAAACTAACCTTTAAATGTGCCTGTGACAGCTACATTGGATATACTACATCCTCACTGCTCAGTTCAGGTGCCGTTTTAATAGTTTTTTGCTTTAACGTTCAATTGGCTTAAGTACCTTTTATAGGTGACTAGATGGTGCGTGTCTGATTTGTTGATGCAAAATGCTTGGATTTTGAACATTACACTTCGAACACACAGTGAAGCACTCTGTTGTTTTATATTCCATGTATACAGTATCTTGCAGCATAAATTTATGATGGCACACTAAACTGACCATGGATATCCTATACTTGTATGATAGATAATTGACATTGGTTTCCATAGATAAACCATTGAGCTTACCCAAGCATTCCAGCTCATTACCATAAAACTGTGCATAAACCTAATAGGCTTGAGTGTTTGAAGGGAATTGAAGTACTGAATATTTGTCTATGCAACTGTTCCACATGAATCCTAAGATTTGTTTACTGTTTAAAACAGCCACTTCTTACACTACAAATCCATCATGTACATATACAGTGAAATGTGTTTTGTTTTTATTGTTTATCTTGTCTTTTTATATTTCAAAATCAAATATTTTAATTGTAGAATTTCCACATAGCTTCAGGAAATGTGTTTTTGCGCTTTCCCCGCTTGATTCTTATCAAATGCAATTTAGGTGATTCAAAGCTACAAGTATGACTTTTTCAACAGGTAATTGTCACTACTACCAAAGTGGTTTGCTTATTGCAGAGCACAGCTCTGTATATTTTGCACATTTTATCCTTTTTATTCATGGAGCTTTTACTTTTTTTTTTTTTCTCTGGCCCCACAAAATGTGGTGCTATTTTTAAACCATTCAAATACAATAAGGCTTGGCCTGTGAGATTTTGACTGGTGCACAGTAGTCACCCTTAGTAGTCACTCTAGCCTTAAGTGTACCTGTCACTATATGTTTTCTTTAAGAATATTTAATGCATTTATCAATGATTTCGGGGTCATTTAACCTTAAAGCTGTTTCCCTCATTCTAGCTTAGGTTTACACTCCATTTTGTGATATAACACAAAAGAGATTTTGCTATGTGTAGCATCTTTTTTAAAATTTCTTTATTAAAGTGTTTGTATTTTACACATTTATGTTACATAGGACTTGTTGCATTGACTTGCCAAAGCACCTGGACAATGTTTTAACTTTTTTGGAAAGTAAGGGAATGTGTGCGTTTGTGTTTGTCCCCGAGTATTGCTATTACTCCTCCAGAATGTAATGATTACTAAGTTAATGCACATGTATTTTAGTCAGTAGAGATATATTTGTTTGTTCTATTCACTCTTTAATACTTTCGCTTCACTTTCATGTACAAACATAAAAATATGCAGTTGATCAAACCAAAGAGTTTTTTTTTTTTCTTGATCGTTTTGTTTAGTAAACTCTTTTTATAGAGGTGTGTTTTGTATCTTATAGTTATTTTATTTTTTTATATTCCATTTTGTGATATGTAATAAACATATATAATGCTATCTGAATGCTTTTTGTTTGAAATTAATCTGAAGTTATTTGTGAAGCACGTTTACCAAAATGGTAACTTACTACAAAAAAAAAAGTGGTTCTCTTCCACATCATTACAAGCATATATGGTGTGTGTGTGTGTATATATATATATATACACACACAAGTCAACATTTGAAGTGGATCAAAACCTTTCATCAAAGTTGTCCTAAAACCTAAAATGCGTTCTTGTCTTAGGACAACTTTGATTAACTTTCTTGATCCACTTCAAATGTTGACTACTGTATATTTCTGCAATGCCATCTCTTAACCAAATTGTCTAACAAATCCTGCACCATGATTTGATTAGGAAATAACATTGCCTTCATATTTAAATAAGCTCCTTTGTGCACCTGACATCTTCCCCAGGTAATTGATACAAATACAAACAACACTTAGTCTGAAAGGTTTGTGTGTGCGTGTGTGTTGGTGCCTGTCTGTTTTTTTAACCCCTATGCTCTCCGATTACCTGCATGTACCAAGTTGTCTGGGCGGGTCTTTGTGGCTGGAGAAGGTAAAACCAGCTAAAACAAAAAAGCTGATACACTCATCGGCTGCACTTATTGGCTTGCATGTCACTGGAGAACAAAAAGGCTATTGTGAGATCCCCTTTACCTGAGAGTTTCTACATTGCATTCAAATCAGAAGGTACTTTGGTTTTGCACACTTCTTCTGCAGGTTTCAGTATTCTTGTGAAGCTTGCTGTCGTTATTGACTTTGAAACAGGTCCCAGTTGTCCCCTCGAATGGACTTTTAGGTGGGACGATTTACAACTTGTTTTGCAGACCAGTTCCTCGTCATCCTTTGTGGCACCTTCCACCATCCTTGTTCCGATCATGGCGATGGGCTTCTCCCCAGAGCAGGTGGCCTGTGTTTGTGAGGTTCTTCTCCAGAGTGGAAGCATGGATCGCTTGTCCTCGTTCTTATGCTCTTTCCCTTCCATTTCCTCGTCGTCCAGTGTGTATCTGGGTATGGCTCAGAGTCAAGAGAGCGTGCTGAAAGCGCGGGCTGCGGTCGCCTTCCACCACTGTCGTTTTGCTGAGCTCTACGCCTTGTTAGAGGGGAACGCGTTCTCCCCGCGCAGTCACCCTCTCCTCCAGCAGCTCTGGCTCCGGGCTCACTACATGGAGGCTGAATTGCAGAGGGGCCGCCCTCTTGGGGCCGTGGGGAAGTACCGCATCCGCCGCAAGTTCCCTCTTCCTCGTACCATCTGGGATGGAGAAGAGACCAGCTACTGCTTCAAGGTGTTTAAATCTGTTGTAGGATCAGTGAGCACTGATTTATCTGATTGTGTGTTAGTCTCAAAATAATCTTGTTTCCTTTTGGGAGAGATTTCAAGAGCTTTCGGTTGCATCCTTTGCTCGCAGGAAAAGTCTCGCAGTGTATTGAGAGAGTGGTACTGCAGAAAGCCGTACCCCTCGCCACGAGAGAAACGAGATTTGGCTGCAGCCACTGGACTCACTGCTACACAAGTCAGCAACTGGTTCAAGAACCGACGACAGCGGGACAGAGCTGCGACCAGCCGTCAGGGGTAAGAAACGCTCCCTCACTCTACATGCACCAGGGGAACAACATAGTAGATTCCTGCTGGAACACAATGAACAGTTTTCACTCAGAAACTGCTAGTAAATTTCACAAATAAGAAACGGTAATTAACACAATGAATTAAATGAGAAATTTTTAAGTAGACAGCTTTAAATGTTTGGCTTTATATCGGTGTTTCTCAACCCGGGGGCTTGCTTTGGGATGACGAGCATTAAATTATGTTAATCAACTAAAGATTTATATACTTATTTTAACTGACACCCTTGGGCAACTTTTATTTCTAGGCCTGGAAAAGTCTTGTAAATTAATATGATCTTATAGCTTCATGGGCACTTCTTATAATTAATAAGCAATACATATTTCTGTGGCAAACTGTAAAATATTTTACTGGGTAGAATTTTGAATTTTAAAAATATTATTAAAAATCCTTATCCAAATGGTTGAGAACCACTGCTTCAGATGGTTTGAATGAATAGCATTAGCATTCTATTGTCTTCTTTCATTGGCTCCATGCTGCCCTCTGCTGGATGAGTCACAAACCAAAAGTTGGTTTGGAATTTCAATAATCCATGTACATATTCATATTTGATCTCAGTTTGACATATTTCAGGTTTTATATCCGAGTTATTCCTATGTTCCAGCAGAACCTCAGCAGGAGCGTTCCTGAGCTCTGATGAGGAGCTCTCACCGCCAGCGAGTCCCAGCACACTCTTCTCCTGCTCCCAGCAGCTGTCTGCCCACCCGCCCCCTCTCCGCCACCTGGGACCAGCACACTACTGAAATCAATGCAATAGAATACAGGTCAAAAACACTACGTTTTGTAATTTAAAGGTGTTTTTTGTACATGAATTATCCCTTCTACCTGGAAAGACAACGTAATTTAAATGTGTCTTTGTAAGTCACTGCTGTCTCTGTGTGAGCTCTAGCCTCTGTAAGCAGCATAAAAGAGAGTCAGTTACACTTTAAGCCTTTTATGCAGTTGTGTTTCCTGACTTGAGGTTGGTTGACAGTCTTGCGTAGGTTAGCAAAATGGCTCAAATGGCTTACAGCACCTTTAACAAAGTCACACTTGAGCTCTTTTAAACACAAAACAGAGCATCAGTACAGCTGGCAACAAATGCCATTTTAGCTCCTTTTGTTAAGTTTGATGTGCACCCTAACATTTGTGCTTCAGTACACACTGCATTTCAGGACTTGTGTACTATTTGACTTGTGTAACTAGCAAAAGTTTGAATTGAAAATGCTAAAGTATCTTCCCTTTTTTTATCATTTGTGGCAGCTCATAACGCTGCATCTTCTTTCATTGCTATAACTGAATCACATTCTCTTCTCTAAAATGTCTGCATGAAATGAAAATTCACCCTTTCTACTTTCTAAATGCATGTTATTGATCTTATTGTGAATAATTCATCCATGCATATGTTTCATGTAAAAAAAAACAAAAAAAACTGACCTCATCATTTGTAATCAAAATGTCATATCTCAATCTTCTGGTGATGTATGCCGAACTCTTCCAATCATTATGTCCTCTTTTTCAGTAATCCGTTTCACTCAGATATGCATCACAATGCAGCAAAAAGATGTGCCGCTACTTCCGTTTCATCTTGGCTTTAAAAAAGCTCTTTTTGTGACCCAAAAGATAGCATATCAATACAGCAGCAGATTTTAATTGGCTTTAATGCAACAGTGTCAATCTTAGTGTATTCTAAATTTCAACAAAAATAGGAAAAAAAACAAAAACTCAAATCCAGTGTCTCCTTGGGTTTATTACGAATATCCATTAGACCCTTGACATGGTCTTTTGGCTCATAATGGTAACAGCTCAGTGACTAAGGATTGTAAAAAAGAAGATCTATCTCTCTTAATTCACATTAAATTCTACTCACAGATTCGTAAAACAAGTGTATCTCAATGTCTTGTATACTGACCTTGTGAAGTGCACCACCACTGCCTTTCCCCAACACAGCTTGAATGAACAGTTCATCAGCAAATACTGTACAAATGATGATTAATGAGCTAAATGAAAACAGTCAATAAATGAACTTCACTCTGAGTTCCACTTCAAAGCCATATCAAATGAATGATATGAAATCACAAACGTATGGTCTAACAGTCTCTTAAAGGATGAAATTAGGCGTAACATGAGTGTTTGTCCTATTATGACATATGGCTCTTTTCAGCAGAAAAATATATGGATATCTTCAACATGTACCATTCACACTCCAAATAAACACATCATTATGCTATGCGTCTCTTTGGTCATTCTGATCTATGGCTCTGTTCTTATTACTACTACCATTACAGTCTGCTGTAGGATGATCATTATAGCATGTTTAGAGGCCCAGATACTCAGCCACGAAGATGGCCAGGATTCTAGTTAGGTTTTCCACCGTGGGCCTGTGCATCCTCTCCTCTGCATCATCCAGTGTGTGCCAGAACACAGGAAACGGTGTGGGGATCAAGTGAAGCACTGGTACACCTGGTTCAGGGGTATAAACAGAACAAATTAAACTTGTTTGATCCATTTGCTTTATGTTGTTTGCACAATAAAAGTAAACAACATTTGAATTTTACATAGGCTACACTAATATTCAAAAGGCTGGAGTCAGAAAGATTTTTTAAATGTTTTTGAAAAAAAGTCTCTTATCATTAAGGCTGCATTTATTTGATCAAAACACAGTAAAACATTTATCGTGATATTTATTTGAATATATTTCAAAATGTAATTTATAGCTGTGATGTTAAAGCTGATTTCTCAGCAGTCATTACAGCAGTCTTCAGGGTCACATGATCCTCCAGGAATTATTCTAATATGCTGATTTGGTGCTCAAGGAATATTTATTATTATTATCAATGCTTCTTTTTATTATCAATGTTAATTCTTCAAATTTTTGTGGAAACTATGCTAATTTTATTCAGGATTCTCTGATGAATAAAAAGTAAAAAAGAACAGCATTTATTTGAAATAGAAATCTTTTGTAAGGCTATAAATATCACTTTTGATATAAATGTCACTTCAGAATGCTTCCTTGCTGAAAAAAAACACTGCGTTTAAAAAACACTTACTGACCCCAAACTTTTGAATAGTAGTGTATGTTGTCTGGCTGTTTACTGACCTCTGTTTAAAAATGGAATGTGATCATCCTGCACGGGACCAAGATAAAAATCTTTCCTGAAGTAACTCTGTTCTGATGGATGAGATGTCAACAAACCCTGTTTGTGTAGTCTCCTCTCTGAAAGAGAAACAGAGAGGGATGCTGGCTGACGTCATGCATTTTTAGGCTGCAACCCAATCTGAGTTGTTTTGAACTTATACCTGCAGCGATCAGTCGGTCAAACCATCTGGCTGTGTTATCAAAGTGATTGACAATCAATGGTTCTGGGCCACCAAGCAGGTCCAGCAGAACTAACAGATCCTGGAAGGAAAATAGAGAATTTCAACATTAAAAAAAAATACATTAAATAAATAAATACCTACCTACCTATAATGTAAATAAATATTAAATTAAATATTTAAAATGTTTCTCTAGTGTGACACACAATTATTTAAAATACAATTTAAATAAAAGTCTATTACTACTATATTATTACTACTGTAAGGTAAAATAAAATCAGAATAAAAAAAATTATAATAAAATACAATTAAATAAACTCGTTATTAATAAAATAATTAAATAAAAAAAATACTTTTACTTCTCATGTAATTGCGCAGGGTGTTTTTGTGTACATACCAATAGATTCATGTTTTAATTATGTTTTAATTCATATATATGAATACAATTAGTTTTGTAGCTGATGTATCAATGAACCTGTATTGAATGTTGAATCGAAGTAACAAGGAGGTCTTAAAATATTTGAAACGGGTATTAAAAACGATTACATTTGAGAGGCAAATACCTTCAGATACCCTGAACTAAAAACCTCTCATCCATAAATATTCTTTACCATTAATAACACAGCATAATATATGAAAAACAAACGGAGAGACTGATCCCAGTACTGTACACACAACCTCACCACTGCCTGGAGAAGAGTGGTTTTGGTGGATCCAGAAGGGTGGGGAGTACGGGCCATAAGTTCAGCCAGATGACGAGAACCGTAGAGAGAGTCTGTTTCTGTCCATTCCTCGAATGCCTCCTCTCCATCAAAAAACACCAACTGCAATGTCACCGCAGACCTCTGAAGAGAAAGACATAGAGAGGATGCAGTTAGTCTGTAATGTGTTTTGACACTGTCACATCTCATAATGATGTACAGTACACGCACTTAAGGCTTGATTCAGCACGGTGATGCAGCCGATTCTTGTTAAATAGGTTTTCAAATGATTCTCAGAAAACATCTAGAAGAACCCTTTTCCTCATGATTGTGATCTACCTGCCGTTTTAGAGCTTCAAGCTGTGTGTCCAGAGCAGTGGCCAGCTCCAAGATCATAGCACAGGGTATGGCTGAATCACTGGCACCCACAAACACCCGCTTGGGGTTTTTAGGGTCTGCGGGTAAGATCTTGGAGTCATGGTGGCATGCTAGGAGCAGCCTGCGAGAAGCCGAGGGGTCCAGAACTGCTAGCACATTGGTGAAGGTCACTTTACCCTTCGGGGTGGATGAAACGAAAGAATTCTCCTCCAGCGTCCATCCTGCTGACAGTGAACCCAGCTGGGACAAGATATGCTGTAGTTGGAAGAGGTGAGAGAACTTTAATGACCTTCACTGCATGCTTATCACAAGAAGATAATTAAAGGAATAGTTCACTCAAAATTGAAAGTTTGCTGAAACTTATCTCCTGAGCGCAATCTAAGATGTAAATGTTGAAGAAATGTAGCATTACTTCACTCGCTCATCAACGGATCCTCTGCAGTGAATGGGTACCGTCAGAATGAGAGTCCAAACAGCTGATGAAAAAAACATCACAATAATCTACACGACCCTAGTCTAATCAATTAATATTTTGTGATGTGAAAAGCTGCATGTTTGTAAGAAATAAATACATCATTAAGGCTTTTTAACTTTAAACCAATGCTTCTGGCCAAAATAGGAGTCCATAATCCATAATAATGCTTTCTTCGCTGAAAAAGTCCATTCTCTGTTGTTCTAACATCAAAATCCACCAACACATTTGTTTAGAACTGTAAAATGGTGTTTTGAACTTGTAAATAGTGCTTGATTTGTGCATATATCTTCATATATATTCTTGATTCAGACGAGATGACATTTTCACTGGAGAAAGCAATATGTGACCCTGGACCACAAAACCAGTCATAAGTGTCAATTTTTCGAAATTGAGATTTATACATCATATGAAAGCTGAATAAATCAGCTTTTCATTGATGTATGGTTTGCTAGGATAGGACAATATTTGGCCGAGATACAACTATTCGAAAATCTGGAATCTGAGGGTGCATAAAAATCTAAATATTTAGAAAATTGCCTTTAAATTTGTCCAAATTAAGTTCTTAGCAATGCATATTACTAATCAATAATGAAGTTTTGATATATTTACGATAGGAAATTTACTAAATATCTTCATGGAGCATGATCTTTACTTAATATCCTAATTATTTTTGGCATAAAAGAAAAATCGATAATTTTGTCCCATACAATGTATTTTTGGCTATTGCTACAAATATACCCCAGAGACTTAAAACTGGTTTTGTGCTCCAGGGTCACATTTAGTGAAATAGAAGATTCATATTTTTTATCAACAGTTTGAGGTTAAAAACATCTTGATGCATTTACTTCCAACAAACACACAGCTTTTCACTTCACAATATGTTAATTAATTAACTGGGGTTGGGTTGATTACTGTCATGTTTTCATCAGCTGTTTGAACTCTCATTCTGACGGCACCCATTCACTGCAGAGGATCTATAATGGTGAGCAGGTGATGTAATGGTAAATTTCTCCAAATCTGTTAAGATGAAGAACAAACTTAACTACATCTTGGATGGCCTGCAGGTGAGTTCAGCAAGGAAGGTAATCGCACTGTGATTAATGATGTTTAGATAGCAATAGAACATATATTGTTCAGCCTGAGGCGTTACCTGCCGTATGGTCTGACTGCCTGCAGTCCCGGGCACTCGTTCATTTAGCAGGGGCCGCAGGTGAGTCTCCCAGAGCCGATGCCCGTCCACCTGTGCTGCAAACTTCTTTATTTGTGCCACAGAGTATTTATTTGGCTTATGGGCATTCTGCAGAAAGGAAGAGGTGAGCATATGATCATGTTCATCTTGTCTAAAAAGGGTGTGCAGTCCTCTTCCTGACAGGCCCCCTTCCTGCAAAATGTAGCTTTAACCCTAGCTAAGCAAACCTGAGCCAGCTAATCAAAGTCTTGAGGATTACTAGAAACTTCACAGTAGGAGCAGATTGGGCTGCGAAGGCCAGGGCCACATACTGACAAAAATAAAATCATAAAGGTAGTCTATACTTGTGTGCTATATGATACTGTGCGCAAATACATTGCACAATTTGCCTATTTTACAATGGGGTTTTCTTTATTGGAGCATCTGTGCCTATTTGCTTTATTGAAAACAGCAATGAAAATATTCTGATTAACGTCTACCTTTTTCCTCCATGGAAGAAAGCAGTGTTATTTTAATATTATTTATGTTAATACTTAGACGAATATGAATTAGATTTTGAGCATTTTTAGTTACATTTTCATTTTAGTTAACTTTAATATTTTTTAATGTGCGTTTGCCATTTTAAAAAAAAATTATTACTATTTTTGTTCTTAAATATGACTATTTAGGTTTAATTGATTAATTATGCATAATTTATTATTATTTCTGTTTTAGTTTACTTCATTCTAGTTAGTTATTTCAGTGCTTCAGCTAAGCAATCATTCAAATTTTTGTTCATTCCTTTCTTTCTTTCTTTCAATCAACAATTTCAATTTCACTCAAAACAATGAGTCCGCTTTTAGCCATTATGCCACCCGCAGTTGAAACCAGCTTCCAGAAGAGATCAGATGTGCTAAATCAGTTAAATCCAGACCCAAAACACATCTGTTCAGCTGCGTATTCACTGAATGAGAACTGTGCTACGTCCAAACTGATTGCACTGTATTTTATGTACCATCATCTTTTATTCCACCTTGTTTTAATTTATTTGAAATTATTTTATTGTTGTGATTATTTAAATTCCTTTTATGTAAAGCACTTTAAAATGACCATTGTGTATGGTCATTTAATTATTAATAAAATGTGCTTTATAAATAAACTTGCCTTGACTTCCCTAATAGCTTTAGTTAACGACATTAACCTTGCAAGTAAGTCAATCATGAGGAGTAAATGATAGATTTTTAGCAACTCAGAATTGCACTGCTCTTGGTAACATGTCGTGGGAATGCACGAACTCATTCCAGCTCAGAGTCAGCTCACCCTGTCCCTGATGAGATGTGCAGCATGCTGCTGTAGGCTGCTGGAGGGCTCTGCAGACAGATACAGCGCCAGGACCACAGCCAGCGACAGCGCGCCGCAGAGGCACAGCAGCAGCACTCTCAGCGGGCCGCATCCTGCCAGCGCGTGCCCGTTATTAACGTGCAAAGCGTTGGCTCTTCGGCCGGCTCTTGACATTTTGTCGCGGCGTTGACGGCTGACTCCCGGTTAAAGATGCTGGGAGCGACGGCGACAGGCGTGTCCCTCCAGCTTCGGCACTGACCGCGCGCCAAAGGACACGTCAGTACTTTAACCGGCCAGTTCGCCCACTATCGCGCTGAGGCGGTATAAAACACCCGTTTAGAAGACTTTTCCGAGCCTAACGAAACGGGGAATGTTTCACTAACGAATACTCAGCCCGAGTTGTACAAAATGGCATATATATGGAAGTTGTGGAGGCTCTTATTTTGTAATTCCACATCAGACAGTCCTGAAACGACGCAGCTGACATCGTGGGAAGGTGTACTCTCAATCTGAGGTGGAACTGGTCTGTGCAATCTAGAACTTTTATTTTTATAGCTTTTTGAATGTAGAGACAAAACAGCAGGGGGGGGATCGCGTTCGCTGGATGAGGAGCACTGCATTCAGATCAGTTCTCTGACGGTTTTACCGTAATAGGCAGTTTATGCGCGACCTTCGAAATAACGTGGCGGCTAGATTGACCGTGCTTTTCGACTTGGCGGCTGGCTTGACCGCAGTGAGTTGTGTCAGGTCCTCTTGAATTGCATCGTAAACAAGAACCAGAGACGACTTTTACTCTACAAACATTACTTTTCCCGTTCAAAACGTCACATTTCACGTTTATAAAGCGATTTTACATTTGTTTAAAAATCCCTTATACCGCCAGGAACGCCTGTAATAGCTCTGCGCCTTCCAAGAGCAAAAGATACGCAAAGTATACACAGTTTGCGCCCTTCCGTCTGGAGTCGCTAAGCTGTGTCTATAAATCACCTGAACTCTCTCAGTCTGTCAACACTTGAGCTGGACTTCAGCCGCTCTGCGCTAGAAAGCCAGTCACCACCTACATCAGCAGCATTACTCTCGCATCTGAAGTCGCCAGATGTTTATAACACTTGTGCACGGCGAACTAACAGAAGCTGTGTCGTCCTTTTCTAACGTCTTCTTTTATTCAGGCTTGTAATGGGGCTGAACAGTCTGGTTGAGGTGGCACGTCTTCTTAAAGGGACAGGCGCTCAAAGTCGGCTTGCTGCGTCGATGTCGGAAAGATCGTATTTACACAGGTTGAACGATGTAAACGTTATTCTTATTGTATTATTATTCTTGTATGCTTATATAGAAGTTACTCATATATTTACTTGAAAAAATAATCAAGGAAGATGTCACACAGACAGTGTTGTCAAGTCCGCGATTTTCCCGCAGAATTGGGCTACTTTAACACTGTTGCTGCGGGTTGTTTTTGATGTCCAGGGGTTGAAGCGACCCCAATAACCTCATATTTAGCCCCTGGAGTGCGCATTTACCAAGGGAACCCCGCCAAAAAACATGTATTTTACACCCTGGAATGTGATTTTTACCGGGGGACCCACTCGAAATGCCATTGGGCTACTTTTGAGTAGCAGATTTTGTTGTGAAAACCTGGCAACCCTGATGTCACAGCAAAGGGCTCGAATTGAGGGGGGATGGCATCCCTCTGGTGCAAAAAAATGACAAAAAGTATGACCCTCAAACCATCCCCTTTAGATTAATAATGTTGTGTATTATGTCAAATTTATTGTGCAAATTAAATGTTAAAACTCTCTACTTATGATAATTCACGAACTAAATAACGGCGATTGGCCAATCAGAACTCGGTACTGTAACAAGCTTTGCACAAGCTGAAGCAAGTTTCAGTCATTTTTCGTGCAAAATGGTTCAAGCGCAACTTTTGAAGTTCTTTAAAAAGAAGACAACAGAAGGTATGATTTTTCCTTGATGAGAATTGAAAGACATTCCTCTGATATAATGTCATTGTGCTGCATGTGTGACTGTGAAGGACTGAGAGAGATAGAGATAGCTGTGTCACCGAATTCTCAAAAAACAAACAAAAACATTCCCATGTACTTTTCTGAATATCGGCACATAAATATGCTAATAATTTTACACAACAGAGTAGAGCAACGCGATGCTTCATTCCTTGAATGAATCTGTTTTTGAAGGAATCATGTGAGCCAGTGATTCAGCGGTCCGTTCACTCGTTTCGTTTCTAATTGAATCGGCCGTTTTGAACGAATCGTTTGATTTGAATGATTCAGGCGCTTTTATTGTCATCTTTATTTATCCATGACAGTCCTAAACCAACCAAGGTGCCAGCACAAAAACACATTCAGCAAAATATTGTTTAATTAGCAGCAGTATTGACCAAAATCCCTCCATTTAATCATTGTGTAAAATTAGCTATGGGACAGGCTTAAACCATAATTTGACAGGTAACATTTTTCATTGGTGAATTGTACTACCTGCTGTTTTAATGGGACGTAGCAAAATCTGACAGGGTAGCACAAATCGACCGAACAACCGTGGCCCCTGCTGCCTGCCTGGGTGTGGTGGGTGGAAGCAGTGGGGGTCCCGACTCGAGAGGTGTCATGTCAGAGCGGTGACACAGTCAACCAGTTACCAAGAAATGAACTCTGAACGGAAGCTGTGTGAGAGGTGTGACCTGATGTGTGATACAGCGAACCAGTTACCAAGTAAATACACTGAACGGAAGATGTTTTTCCTTTTGTTGTCTCGATTTAAACACTGAACTATGCTCAAATAAAACATGCTTCACTGGTTCTCATATTGATGTTGGATATTGTTTTAATTGAATTGCTGCTGGGGAAAATAGCTTTATAATTTAAGTAGCCTAGTTCATTTTAAAGGCATCCAGGTCTTAAACAAATGTGACCCTAGACCACAAAACCAGTCATAAGGGTCCATTTTTTAAATTATTATTGAGATTTATACATCATCTGAAAGTTGAATAAATAAGCTTTCCATTGATGTATGGTTTGTTAGGACAATATTTGGCCGAGATACAACTATTTGAAAATCTGGAATCTGACAGTGCAAAGAAATCTAAATATTGAGAAAATCGTCTTTAAATTTGTCCAAATTAAGTTTTTAGCAATGCATATTACTAATCAAAAATTAAGTTTTGATATATGTACGGTAGGAAATTTACTAAATATCTTCATGGTACATGATCTTTATTTAATATCCTAATGATTTTTGTCATAAAAGTAAAATCGATCATTTTGACCCATACAATGTATTGTTGGCTATTGCTACAAATATACCCCAGCGACTTAAGACTGGTTTTGTGCCCCAGGATCACAAATATACTAGATTTTACAATTAAGATAACACTTTACAATACATTTTTATTCATTAGCATTAGGACAACGAAGAACAATATATTTATATATTGTTAATTCATGTTTGTTTAGAACACAGTGTTTAAACAAAAATGAAAAAAAGTCTATGTAATAATCAGGGTTGCCAAACCTTTATACTGCTTTTTTTTTTTAGATCCCTTGGAAGGCCGACCCCCTAGAATGCAATTTTGATAGCCATTTTCTCCCGAAATGCACTGGGCTAGTTTTGAGTACCAGTTGATCTGGTTTTGTTACACGGACCTGGCAACCCTGGTAATGATCCTAGCATTAAAAGCTTCATACATGCACAACAATGAATTTGTCTCTCATTCATAAATAAGTAAAGATAATCATTTATGGGAAATAATTACATTTGTATGGGTTTACATATGCATTATATATATTTAATTATTAATATTGTCATCAATACACCAACATGTAAAGCATATATATTTTGAAATAATTGTTTCTAAATTTTGACTGATTTTCCCACCTTATATTAGGGATGCCTTCTATGTATCGTGCTATACGCATTTATGACCAGCAGAGGGAGCAAGTAATAAGTCAACCCGACAACCTTCCAGTGGGAGGCGCTGTTGTTCTCTGCGGGGCAGCAGAGGCTCGGCATGGAAGCGTTCCATCCGTTTATGTCAAAGCCTTCAACAATTAACATCAAACTCATTTCAGTTATAACTTTACATAAACGTTAAATGATCTCTTGGGTCAAAACTGACAAGTTTTGCCAGTTAAGAACACTTTTGCATCAGTGAGACAACGAGTTCTCAATGAAGATGGCCTAACTTTTCGCCCAAACACCACCACAGTGTGTTTACGTCCATAAAACTATTCATCTGGTTTTCAAGACAAATTCAAACTGCATTTTGCAATGTTTCCTGCAGCAGCGCAAGAATTAAACAGGGTACACAGAAAAAAAATACCAGTTACACAACTAATGAGCATCATTTATATAGAATTGGTGCCATTGCTATGGTTTTAGGTGTTAAAGGAATATTTCACCCAAAAGTGAAAATCCTGTCATCATTTACGAAATCAATCAGTTGCTGGTCCCCAGTGAACTACTTAGTATGGAAATAAAATTCTGAGAGTCAATGGGAGAATGAGAAAATATCTTCTTTTGTGCTCATCAGAAGGGAGAAACTCATACAGGTTTGGAATAACTTGAGGGAGACAGAATTTTCATTTTAGAGTTTTTTTTTGCAAGTTTTGTTTCAATAAATGAACTTTTTAGACTTGTATTCCTCATAAAGTGAACCCGTCAAGGATACAGACTTTAACAACACAACGTGTAAATTACTAACGAGCCGGCATTTGTACATCTTTGCTCTTCCAGTGTAGCATATTAGTCAAATACAATAATGGTCAAGAATGTTATCATTATGAAATATTTTAATATATTTTTTATAAAATAATGAAAACATAATTTACACATCTTAAATGTACACTCATTGATACAACATCCCCAAAAGAAACTGAATGATTAATCAGTTATCAATAGTTAATCGAGGCATTAGAGCCACCGTTTCATGCATGAAGTTAACAGAAACAGAGACAAAAAGATGAATTACAATAAAGTTTCTTAAAAAAAAGATAAGTAATAAAAGCGTAAAATCAGCTTTGTACAAAAGATCATGAATCAAACAAAATATAAAGGACAAAAAACTCAGTACCCTCCAATAATGTTACCAAATCTTGTAATTTTCACCTTGAATTTGACATTCTGTATTAAAAAAAAAAAAAAACAAGAAGAAAAGAATCTAAATAAATAGTCAAAATATTACACATAAAAATAAACCTTCAAATATTACAGCTGGACTATATAAATTGCCATGATTTAAGAATGCGCAACACAGATGCACATAGATGTTCTCACAAGTATATTACTCATATTTACCTTTTAAAAATAAAAAAAGAACTTATTAAAAACACCTCCACCCAACTAATCAAACAAACATACAAACAAACAGAAATCATAAGACAATCCATGGTGTAGATATGACACCCAGTAACCCAGAACTGAGTGAGTCTGAAAAACCTCCCACTTCATTGACAGAAACACACACAGTGGGTCAAGTTCTTGTAGTCACAGCAATGAGATGAGAATCTGATAAAACTGTAAAAATGGATCTAAAACAGTGGGGCAAATGAGCTTATCATTCTGATCATTTGATTTCGCAAGTCCAGAGTGATGATGTTTAAATGAAAGCTCCAACATGTATACAGACTTCTACCTAAAGGTATAGTCCACCCAAAATCTCATTCTCATGTTGTTCCAAACCTGTATGACTTGCTTTCATCTGTGGATCTTGAACAAACACAATGGAAGTCAATGGGAACCAAAACTCTTCAGTTCTTCAGAATAACGTCTTTCATGTTCCATAGAAGGAATAAAGTCATATAGGTTTGAACAACATGAGGGTGAGTAAATGAAAGAATTTTCATTTTTGGTTGGACTATTCCCCTAGTGGGGAGAACATGTAACATGTTAGATATCAGCAGTTATAAAATCACTGTATGTAGAGTCACACTACTAAACAGCTGCAATGAATGATGTCAGGTCTTATTTGTATCTCTCACCCCATAAATAAAGAAAAACCTTTGCATTTTACAATGCTATTTACTGTCCTAAGCATGTATATAGTTGTTTTTGTGTGTCTGAGTAAAGCAGACACATTCTATTTTCACTTATATTAGCTCTGAAACCGACTGTTGCAGTGCTTTTGTTTTGACGTGGATAAATAGGTCAGAGACGAATAGATCAGGTCATCGAGAGGGCAGCTTACGGGTCCTGAGAGAGGAGGAGATCTTTTTTCCAGTCGCATCAGGTTAAAGGGATGGAGAGAGCTGATATGAGTGGTAAATTACAACACATCACTGGTCACAGCTGACCACTTTAAGGCAGACATGTACAGAGTAACATGGGGTACATGATAAACCATATTCGATCCAGCCTGACTGTTATTCCAGTTAGCGCGCTTAACTGAGTACAGCGTGGCTCGTCTTAGTATGTAAACACCATGATCTGTCTAGAAGTTGAAAACAGCTATCTATTGCCAACAGTCGTTTCACCTGATAAACCTGAACTAAATACAAATAGAAAAATAGAGTCTGTATGGAACACAGCTGACTAGGGTTTCTTAGTGTCGGCTTTGCATATACCTATACATATACAGTGTCGAAATCCGAGTTTACACACAGTGCTATGCCAAAACCATACATAAGAGAGCAAGTGGCATTTCCTGTCACATGACGCTGTCACTTAAAGACTGAGCGATGTCCATGCACAGAGGAAACGATCAAAGACTTGGGTGTAACATCACAGTTTTAGTAGTGCTTGCTATCACTGGTCAGAAAGCAGCAGCAGTGAAGATCTACAGAGCCATTATTGCAGAGTTTCAGTCACTACAGGGAGTCTGTTGGATGATAAATCAGCTGAGATGAGGATGGTTTGAACTATAAATATGAACACAATGTACCTGCACATGAGATGTGCGATGTAGAATTATAATTTACAGTGACATGTTATCTGCGAGTCATTCCTTTTTCTTCACAATTACAGTACCGTGATTTCTCTCAACGTTTTGGGAAAGGTAGGGTCTCTCATGTGGCTCTGGTGTCGATTTTCTGTTGCTTTTTTTTGGCTGTTGAGCTGACTGTGCAGTAAATAGGCCTCTCTGATGTTCAGCGTCTCGCAGTTTTACTGGCTCAAGCTTAGTGTCGACTCGTCGAGTACAAAAATAAATCTACACTGAGAAAATAGTTCCGAAAGTAGTTCGATCAGATGAGGAGCTCGCTCGTTTCAAGGTAGGAATCGTGTGTTTGTTTGTTTAAAAATAGACATTTGTACTTCTGTACCGGCTTTAAGTTAAAGATTTGAAGTCTCAAATCATCAGGCAGATTTCGGTTTCCTTCCGTCACACTTTCGTAAAGCTCACAGTTTTGGAGTGTGGTGAGGATCTAGATGAGGGCGAGCGGGACAGTGGATGTACTGGACAATAAGAGACTGTGAAGTAAATTAGCTGTTGGCACTGAACGTGCCATATTAGGCAAATCTCATCTTCTCTCAAATGAAAGGGGACAGTCATTTCCTCTCGGGTATGGTAGAGGATAAGAGTTTGCTGAACTTGCGGAGCTGTTCACTGGCTGAGTGCGATTCCTCCTGCAGACGCTGGTTGTTCTGCCTCAGATTAGCCATCTCTGCTAATAACGTGGACTTGTCCTGTTTCTCCTGAGAGGATGGGACAGGAAGGAACAGAGGAGAGGAAGAGAGAAACATAATTACGAGGATGTCACCAAAAATGGCCACATTACTATAAAATCAACTTTTATTTTCTTTCACTTTGAATTTCTAAAGAGAACTGTACAGAACTGTATTTTATTGGCCAGGGTGAACTGCACAAATAATGCGCAGACTTTAAATAAAGACTGAAACAGTTGTCAGAAGCTGAATGGCGGTGGCGTTGAAGTCATGTGACCATGGTGTAGGTCGTTTATAGCTTAACTTTGGCTTTTTACATCTGCTGATTGTATTTAAGCTTCAAAATTTGTAAAAGTTGTGTTCATTTGCGAAGGAATCATAAACCTTTGTTTGTCATGGTTTATTTTCTGCAACCCAAAAGCCAATGGAGAAATGCTATTGGCTTTTTGTTGAGGGAACCAGCGTTATGCATAAAAACACATCATCCCTGCAGCTCTATTGATATGCTTCATGACATGGTGGAAAGTGAACACTATCAGATCGGTTCTTGAATAAAATATACATTTGACAAATGTGTCATATTTCAACTTTAAATAACTTCATTTCAACTTGAATTCACATTTTCAAGCAACTGACTACTTTATGTGCTTGAATACTCAGCAACAAAATTACTCAAAATACCCGTCCCTAGTGAACCTGTCCTGCACTGGTCAGGCTCCTTCAATGTAACTCACTTTTTCCAGATCATTGTTCAGCTGTTTCAGCATGACTTCCAGATGATATAGACGGCCAGACAGGTCATTGGGAACCTCTTCACTGCAACACACAAAATAAAAACAAGTTAATACCAGTATACTTGCATATAAATTCTTATTCCAAATATTTAAATACTTAATCCATTATTGAAGGAATGAGTTGATTTGAGGTTAAGCAAACTTCATGCAGACTTGCAGAGCTAACATTGTGCCCTAACTACTGTTAAACCCTACACTGCAGAGAACTCAGAGGAAGAGCAAGTATATACAGTACAGGTGTATGTTTGTCTGTCTTACCTGCTGAAAGTAGGAGTGGTGCGGGGAGTCTGTGGCGTGTGGAAATGCACCGGGCTGATGACGGGTCTCAACTCATTGCCGCCCGCGTGAGACTCAGACAATGAAAATAAAGAAACAGCTCTTTGCACTGTAAATAAAAAACCCAACACAGATTCAGTCATTTAGATTACAATGAGTTTCTCTTTTAAGTCTTTTTTTTATACTGCATGGGATTGTTGCAAGAACAAAACAAACTTAATGGTAAAGTCTGTAAACCACGAAGAGCCACTCTTCAGTGGCTTACTTGTAGTCAGTGCATACTAAGTTGGGTTAAGAGAAAGTACATTGAAAATGACATCATCTTTATATGGAAGGCCATTTCTGCCACATAAGAAAAAAATCATACTTTGGTAAATCATAATTAGGACCAAAAAGTTGATAATTATGAGACAAAAAGTTGCAATTATGAGATGAGATTTAAAATGTCGAAATTATGAGATAAAAAGACCAAATTATGAGATAAAGTCGAAATGAGAAAAATAAATAATTACATAAAATGTTGAAATCAGATTAAAAGTTGACATTGAGATAAAACGTCTGAATTATGATATAAAATGTCAAAACTGAGATATAGTCATAAAGACATAAGTAGTAGTAGTTCATTATTTTATTGCCATCTCACAAAATAAACACAAATACAGTAAATAAAACGATACGGTAAGATTTTTTAAATTAACATATGATAAAAAAATCTAAAATCTTTTTAGGTAAAATCCTACTAAACAAGTCCCTGAGTGAGTGTACTTAATTAAGAAAATTTGCATTAAAGCTGGAAAAGTCCAATAAAATATGTCGAAATTAAGAAATAAAAAGGTCCTAATTATGAAATAAGTCACGATGATGGAAAAAAAGGTAATAATCAACTACTTTTACACATTTTTTTTTGTTTGTACTTTTTATGTAATAATTATGATTAACCAAAACATAAAATGGGCTTCCATAACTTAAAGTATCTTAGTCTGACTTCAGAATCAGACATGTCAGACAAACACAGCCTGATACCTTCATATGCTTTGGCCGCACTGACGAGGCTGGACCACTCTAGACCACAGGCAGTGTCAGGAAGGGGCATGAGTCCAGGGTCCAGTCTTCTGAGAGGTGGAACCTTATCCCTCACCTCAGTCAGAGATAATTCTGATGCAGACAATGGTACTGGAAAAAAACAAAAAATTTACAGTTTACCCCAAAGAGTAAAAACATACCAGCTGACTATGACCAGCAAATGACACCTACCTTTCTTACTAGGCACGAGGGCTCCATGATTGGTGTTGTGTCCGTGGCGTCGAGTAGGCAGCGTGCAGGTGAAGAGAAGGTCACTGGGCGGCACTTGTCCTTCAAAAAGAGGCGTGCTTGCATAACTAGAATCTCTCCGTCCACTGCACAGACTCTCATCTGAGAAAGTACGTTGCAGGGTCCGATGAGGAGACTGTAGAGAAGCACAAACACACATTGAACAAATGAGTTTGATTGATTGTCTTGTTGTATTTTTTGTCTTTTTCTAGTGTTTGTTTACCCCATCCCGTGATGGTGTCTCTGTAGGGTTGTCCATGATGATGAGCTTTTTCAAGTCGTCCTCAATGGTGCTCTTGTGAGATCTGCGTGGTGAGCGCAGGTCCCTCAGAGAGGCACGTAACCGGGGCTGTCCGAACACGTTCTTACTGTTCATATCCAGCTGCCTGAAAGCACACACAATAATAATCAGGACCAAGATTTAAATATGTAGTGCATCTATTTCATAATCCATCAGCCTTCTCATAAACATGAAATATACACTTCACAAACACACATACTTGCAGCTGTTGCTGTCAGTGGAGGTGGTGCTGGTTGCTGTGCTGTTCTCCTCCTGTTGCCATGCACTCTTGGTTTTACTAAAGGACTTGGGGACGGAGCTTGACAGCTGGGCGGAGCCTGACATGGGTGTGACTGTTGAAGATCTGAAAGGCCGGGGTTTATCAGCCACAGCAGGGGTCTTGTACCCTTGAGGGGTATAGCAGGACCTAAATCCCAGAAACAAAAATACATACAATTCAGATGTTGGTAGGTCAGGATTATTTACACTGAAAATCACATTTATAACACGCTATAACTGCAGGCATAATCTATTATTGCCCATCACTGCCGTTTGTGCACATATGTTTGTCAGTCACACCTGAATTATCCCATATGCGTGTTGTGCTCCACTATGTCTATAAAGGTACATTAGCATTCAAAAGTTTTTACTGTAGTACTTCACCTTTAACTCATTTTATACAACAGTTCTTTCTGGTCCTCGAATCTGATTGGCTGAGAGCCTTTTCTAGCCGTGTGATATTCTAGTGATAACAGAACTCCACTTGCAGCATTTCTCACAGCGAGCATCATGGCAAACGGTCAAATCCATTTAAATTATATAAATATGGTTTTGTGTCACGGAATATAGTTTTTTTTAGGCGAGAATGTAGTTATTAATAATGAAGTTTGTTAATAAAGATAACGTCTACTTTAAATTTGTTTAGATGATTTTGGAAATGTGAGCTCCAGGGTGTCAGCGGCCGTTCAGCGCTCATGAATCCGCCGAGAGCAGCCTTACCTCAGCCAGTTTTTTGGGAATTTGCAGCTGGCTCAGATGTCTCTTAGACATTAGATATTATTCGTTTTTATTAGGGCTGGGTAAAAAAATCGAATGCGATCAAAATCACGTTCAAAATCGGCAATGAATCGCCTGCGATTTTGAACGCGATTTTGTGTAGCTTGTCAGTGAACTACGGCTCTGTGTAGTAAATGCCGCTCCATCTGAAAGCACGTGCTGGAGATTTACTACTAATCTGACCTTTACTGCTTTACTGACCAGATGCGCATGAAAATCGCATTAGATTTTTTGCACAGCCCTAGTTTTATTTATTCGTAAACACAGTATCACACTCATAGCTGTGCGATATGGCTGTACATCAGCACGCTGTGATTACCTACGGCCAAATCACAGCCGTGCTGATAAACAGCCACATCGCACTGCTACTCGTGTGATATAGCTCATTTATTTCAGTTAGTTTACACTTTTCGTTAAAGTTTTTAATTATCCCTTATATGTATTGTGCTTTGCTATGTTAATCGAGGTACACATTCAAAAGTTTGGGATCAGAAAGATGTTTTTAAAAGTCTCTAATGACATTAGATATTATTATTATATTATATCTGTGTAGTAAATGCCGCTCCATCTGAAAGCACGTGCTGGAGATTTACTATTAATCTGACCTTTACTGCTTTACTGACCAGATGCGCATGAAAATCGCATTAGATTTTTTGCACAGCCCTAGTTTTATTTATTCGTAAACACAGTATCACACTCATAGCTGTGCGATATGGCTGTACATCAGCACGCTGTGATTACCTACGGCCAAATCACAGCCGTGCTGATAAACAGCCACATCGCACTGCTACTCGTGTGATATAGCTCATTTATTTCAGTTAGTTTACACTTTTCGTTAAAGTTTTTAATTATCCCTTATATGTATTGTGCTTTGCTATGTTAATCGAGGTACACATTCAAAAGTTTGGGATCAGAAAGATGTTTTTAAAAGTCTCTAATGTTCACCAAGGCTGCATTCATTTGGTCAAAAAATACAGTAAAACCAGTAATATTGTGAAATATTATTACAGTTTAAAGAACTGTTTTTTTAACTGTTATTTTTTTCCTGTGAAGATAAAGCTGAATTGTCTGCATCATTACTCCAATCATCAGTGTCACATGATCCTTCAGAAATCATTCTAATATGCTGAATTGGTGCTCAATAAATATTTCTTATTAATATCAGTATTAAAAATGTTTTGTGTAAACTATAATACATTTTTTTAAATTCTTTGATTAATAGAAAGTTCAAAAGAACAGCATTTATTTCAAATAGGAATATTTTGTAACATTATAAATGCATTTACTGTCACTTTTAATTGATTTAATGCATTGTCGCTAAATAAAAGTATTAATTTCTTAAGAAAAAAAAAAACTTACTGACCCCAAACTTTTGAACAGTAGTGTATACATTTCAGAATAAATACAATACCTTGGTTTGAAGTTGTCGACGTTGGCTGATCCAGGAGGGGGGAATGTGCGGGTGCGATAGTTCTTGCTTTGATTTGCAAATGCAATGACGGGTGAAGACTCCCTGCGACGATCCTCTCCTCCCGCCCTCCCTCCTGCTCCGGACAGCTCCTGCAAGCCGCTGTAGGTAGCAGAACCATGCAAAGGTTTATGGGGGGTTCCTGCAAGGCTGCGGCTAGGTTTGGCTCCTTTAGTGTTGGGACTTGGCGTGTAGAGAGATGCATCGATGCCACTGTCACTGGAGCCTCCCTTGCCCATAGGGTCAGGGTCTGGGTCTGAGGGGTCACTCAGGGCACCGGAAACCACACCTCCCACGCTGTCAAACCAGCGCTCGTCGCTGTGACTGCTGGAAGCATTACTGGAGAGCGTGTTACTGCTGGAGTGACTGGAATAGTGTGCCTCACCCTGAGAGACAGCAGGAGGAAGAGTGATCTGTACACAAGGGCCAAATGAAACAACTTCCTGGTTGCCCCGATGACGACTTTTTACCTTAGAGTGGCGGTTTGGAGAGTCCTTCCCTGCAACGTCCTGTCGAGTCTGTCTTCTCGGAGCTGAGCCCACTGACACACCTCGTGATGAAGCAGGAACATGCCACATGGGCTCTGTCCAACACAAAAGGAGTAAAGTCCAATTCACATTGACACAAAACTGTTTACACGCACCCTGAAAGTTTCAAACTAAAGCAATATTTAATCTTTTTAGAATGTTATATAAACATCTAAAGATAAATTTCATCTTGCCATAACCTAACTTTAGTATTTTACAGGAGACGGATCACTTTTGTTAAACAAATCAGTGACTCATTCAAAATGAATTGCTTCCAGTCGCTTTTTAACCTGGTTGTCAGTGTGAACAGTCCTTTTTTTTTGAGTGTGAGTTTCTCTATCAGACTCAGTATTTTTATAATATTATTTATATAATATTATAGTATTTATTGATATTTTGAATTAGCTTTTATTTTTATATTTTCAGATTTCATTTTAAGTTTCAGTAATTTTTTGCTTTGGCCATTTGTATTAGTATTTTTTAAATAGTTTTTATTTTTAAAAAACTCATGTTCCTGTGGCTCAGTGGTAGAGCATTGCGTCAGCAGCGCAACAGGTCGTGGGTTCAATTCCCAGGGAACACACATACTGGTAAAAAATGTATAGCCTGAATGCACTGTAAGTCACTTTGGATAAAAGCGTCTGCTAAATGCATAAATAATTAAATTAATTAATTAAATTTTTTATTTAGCTTTAATTTATTTTTCTGTTTTAGTTTTATTGTTGTACTTCAGCTTTAACTTCTATTTATTTCAGTTAGTGTATTTCTAGTTGGAGTTTTTCCATCTAATATTTACATTTTGTTTTATTTCAATAAAGAAAATGACTTTTAATCATTTTTGTTTTAGTAAACAATAACAAGACTCAATTAATGCCTGAATAATGACCAGTGATCACCAGTGAAACCCAATGGTTTTCGTAAAGAAGCCTATATTTACAGTGTATCCAGCAGAGGGCACTCAGTGATGGGACGGTACACAAAACACATTTACAGCAGTCATTATTTAAGGACTGGTTCTCCATAAATGTGACCCTGGAGCACAAAACCAGTCTTAAGTTGCTGGGGTATATTTGTAGCAATAACCAAAAATACATTGTATGGGTCAAAATTATCGATTTTTCTTTAATGCAAAAAATAGGATATTAAGTAAAGATCATGTTCCATGAAGATATTTTGTCAATTTCCTATCGTAAATATATCAAAACTTAATTTTTGATTAGTAATATGCATTGCTAAAAACTTCATTTGGACAACTTTAAAGGAGATTTTCTCAATATTTGGATTATTTTGCACCGTCAGATTCCAGATTTTCAAATAGTTGTATCTCGGCCAAATATTGTCCTGTCCTAACAAACCATACATCAATGGAAAGCTTATTTATTCAGCTTTCAGATGATGCATAAATCTCAATTTTGAAAAATTTACACTTATGACTGGTTTTGTGGTCCATGGTCACAAATGTCTTTGAATTATGCATGTTTGTTTACCTGACTTGTTGCGCTCCATCGTGCTTTCTTGGCTAGTGAAACCAGATGATGATTCTCCACTAGAGACATCGACTGTAACATGTGGATCAAATGGCTGGAGAGGCCGCTGGACTGACCCAAACCTACACACACAACAAATATTAACATGTTATTAAAAACATTCTTATTTAACCTATGTTAACCAGCTAAATTCTGACCACTTGGATCAGGTTGGCTGGCATTTTATTGGAGAGCAGGGATTTGGAAGAACGACATGTGGTTAGAGTTAGCAAAACAGTGGAAAATGCTTACAGCAGTTTTGAAGTCCACATGAAATACTGTTCACAGATAACAAGGGATGGGATTTTAGTCATCAGAATTTATTGGATTGTGGAAAGGGTTTGTGTATGACAGGTGGTTGAAGGGGAGTGTGGACACAAAAGCCGAAAAGGAAAGTTGCCCCAGAGGCAGATAAAGACATTTGACTTTAAAGTCCCAATGAAACGAAATTACAGACAGATCTTTTGTTCTGTATTGTGATGTACGTCCAGACAACCCAAACATTTTATTTGGTACATGCACCAATGAATCAAACACATTATGAGTATTAAGAAACCAAACAGGGTCATTTTTGACACACTGCAGCAAAGTCTGCATCATTCACATGCCACATTAAATCCAAAGTCTGTTGCAACCCAAGTGTTCTGTCACTTGTCACCTTGTGGGTTTGAGTGGTGATGTACGGCTGAATCTGATGGGACTAATAATAGCACTCATTAGCACATCTCGCTGAATCACCAATCAATCACCGAGTCAGTGTGAAATGTTAACAGACTCACAGTACCCCAACAACTCTCTATAACACCCTAATGCACTTTAAACTGTAAACACATTCAGGAAAACTTTAAACACTATGTGAGCTGTAAGTTGCAACTGACTTTAATATTAAAACGTATTTCCAAGTGAAATGGAATATTGCATTATAATCTCTAGGGCTGTCAAAATGGCTGAAAAACTAAATTCGAATTTTGTACTTAAATATTATCAAATTTCGAATTATATTCGCGGTCATGCAGGTCACATGCACACTTCACAAGATCTCACAACTGGATTCGACTAAGTTTGCAAGGTTTGTGAAATTAAATGTTCATTAGCCATTCAAAGATTTGATTAAATGATGTAAATGCGTATTTGCTGAATGCTGAAGGCAAACGAGAAAGTATTATAATGTTTGCCTTTCTATTACTAATAATATAAAAGCAATCGTTATAATACGTTTTGTATACATTTTAATTCCTTTGTTTAACAGTTCTATCGATTATTAGACAGACTTCTATCCGTATTAGACAGAACTGTTAATGACGACAGCGAACAAGTGGGAGAATGTGAGCACTGTGTGCTCAGGCGCTGCCGCTCTCAGCGCCATCAAAATAAAAGTCAGTCGCGCCGTCAAAATAAAAGCCTCGAACGCATCGGCCAAACAGAAAAACTTATCGGCCGATGCCGATATTTGAAAAATGGCAAATATCGGCCGATATATCGGTTGCCCACTAATTTCAGTTAAGGTGAAGAAAAGATTTTGGCTTCTCTCCTGAGGCCACAAGAGGGCGCATCAAGCAAAATATAATGCACGTTTATTCAAAGCATAAGATAACATGACTATCTGTGAAAAAAAGTGCATAATGTTTATAAATTACAATTATAATTAAGTTGCTTAAACAACTATAAACAAAACAGCATCATGTATGTATGCATAGTTTAATACAAAGGGCCTAAAGCCAATCACAAAGAGTAAATTTTTCATTTAAAAACATGAGATGCAGTGGGATGGGGAAAAACCCCCGCCATAAAGTCTCGAGATATGTTTTTTCAAAGTTGAACTTACATTCATTTTACATGGCTTTCTAAACATGCGGCTCTTTTGTGCGACAGTGATAGATGTCCCTCTAGAAAATGCGATAAATATGCATTCTGTGTGAACGGCTTGGTTTCGGTTTTGACGTAAACAAGATCCGCATTGATGTTCTCTTTTCCTGCAATATTTGTAATTAACAATGCAGCAGCGCCGCATCCAGTGGCTTCAACAGGATAGGCTAACAAAAACATTAAAATGCAATGACACTTACATCGTCATCTCATCTCGTGCGTCACTGATAAAGCAGCCTTCTTAACACACACCTAAAATTCGAATGCAACGTTTTTGCATTCGAATGTGGATTTTTATTTTAAATTCGACGAATATTAGAAATTCACATTTTTTTGGACAGTCCTAATAATCTCTAGCTCACAGAAAGCTGAAGTTTGGAAAAGAAGGGTTAAGGATGCTCTGCCTCAGGCCGTTAAACTGATGTCAGCAGAAATGAATGCTATTCCAGAAGGGAAGCAAATTTTCAAGTGTTGACTAAATATTATGAAGACAATTTAGTTCTGTAGATTAACTTTTCTTGCACAGATTAAAAGTTCACCATATCGCTAGTAATGTGTGCTAACAAAGTAAACCGGGTCCATTTCGATTTTATGCAGATTTTAAAATATGGTTCAGAATCAATTATCTTGCTAATAAAGTTCTTTGTGAGCTCTATAAATATTTAAGGTGTTTGTCATGGGGATGGTGTTTGGAGGGGACAAGCCCTAATTTAGATGCAGAACAACGGGATATGCTAATCAATGACCTACTTTTTTAAATTACATTAAATATAAATGCATGTGACTAGGAAAAGCAGAAAAATACAGAGTCAGTCAACACGATTTTTTTTTCTTGTTCCTAGTCTTATTGTGAAACATTCAGTGTACGTTAACTTAAAAAAACCCCAAACATTCAAGTTCCTCTGGTTGAACAGGGCAGTTAACCATCAAGGATACAATAGTGCACTATGAAAGTCTGTACATGCCATGACCTCTGCATTATACACATATACAATCACACACAAACACACAATAGGCTTGTGAATCAACAGCAGTTTAGGTCTAGCTGATACATGCCGCAACCACAGCCTCTCATTTACCATCAGACACACCCACCGATGACGGTAAACAGTGCCTGAAGATGTTCATTTCTATCCTCACTATCATTTATTGTTTCTGCTCTGTATCACTTTCCCAACAGTTATGGGAAAGATATTGAATATTTACACAATATGAAAGCAATACAGATATTTCAATAATGTCTCAGATAGCAAACTGTGTTGGGAAGTTAATTTGACACCCTGACAGGATTTATTAGGCAATAATCTGAGTGTATATCTCTATATTGTCAAAATGCTTAAAAATATCAGCCCTAGTTGCCGATGAATGGCCCATCTATGAATTTTAGTGTGTGAATCTCTCAGAATTCTCATATGCTGAACTAAAACAACTGACAAGTCAGATGATAGTGTTGTAAGGTACTGATGGCAAAAGCTTCAAAAAACAAAACAACTGACCCGTCTCGAGTGGGTTTATAGTGGACAAAGGGTCCGCTGAGTCCCGGCACCCCCAGTGCGCTGGAGCTGAACCCAGAGCCTGGACTGGAGAAACTAGCCGAAGGGTTTCTGTACTGCATCCCTCTGTCCCCGGCAAGAGGAGACACACTGTAATGGTTCTCTGGGTAACTGACAGGCCTGTGGGAGGAGACGGAAATAGCTAGTGAGAAGAAAACAAAGCCAACAGATCCGGCCAATAGTTGGTTTCTTTAAGATTTTAACTATATGCTGAAATGTCTCACCTTTTAGCAGAGATGTGTTGGGGCTCTCTGTATGGAATGGGGACCAGGGCTTTGTGTGTACGGCTGGGGACTGGTGGGGGTCCGCTGGGGGTCCAGCGCTGAGCAGAGCTGTGTGTACCAGGTGGGCTGTCCCAGCGCCATACTGGGGTTCGCTGCCCAACACGATACCCTGCAGCCACTGGCTCCGCTTCTCCCTTCTGCTCCATCATCTTCATCTCGTACTCCTCCGTACAGCCCCTACAAACACACAGTCATAAATTATTCATATTTAAATATGTAAATAACCAAGGACTCTAAAACTGTCATCAGTTCATCACTTCATACCTCATAACAATATATAATTTATACACTACAGTCCAACAGTTTGGTCGGTAAAAATGTCTTTTAAAATCTTTTAAAGTCTCTTTAAAATTGCCCCAATGCTGCATTTATATTTGATCAAAAAATACAGTAAAAACAGTAACGTTATGAAATATTACAATTTAAAATAGCTGTTTTCGACTTTAACATGTTTTAAAATTACTCCAGTCTTCAGTGTCACACAGTTTATTATTTTTGTGGAAACTGATGCATTTTGTCAGGATTCCAATGAATAGAAACAGCAATATGAAATAGAAATCTTTCTTACATAATAAATGTCAATTCTGATCAATTCCATACATCCTAAATAAACGTATTAATTACTTAAAAATCTCACTGAATCAAAACTTTTGAACAGTAGATAAAATAAACATATTAAAATATACCACAGTGATCATAATTGCAGCCTCTGAAAATGCCACGCCTTTATTTTATTTGCATTTCCACACTGGTTTATTATAGTTTATATTTTAGATAAACCACCCGTAAGTAATTTTTGTGGCTGCCTGTCTGGTCATTTAGCATGTAAGTCTCATCCTGTCTAAACAAGCGGATCTCAGTCAGAATAAGCTAAAATGGGAGCAGACGGCTTATCTCAAGTCAAAGGACTGGCTATGTGAGATAAGGTTGATTATGACTGCTTTAAAGCCTATGTGCCAAAAACTCTTCTTCCTGGGTTAAAGGTTACAGATTTTAAGGGATGTTTCAAAAGACTAGTTCTGCAGTAATTTGAGTGTGTACTTGAGCACAGCGAGTCTGGTTCACTGGCAGATTAGTCCCAAATCCCTGTTGACCAGTACACTAACCCCTACTGAATGCCAAACAGCATGAGGATGAAACACTCTCATCAGCGCCAGAATCCCTCTGAGTCTCTCTGCTTTCTGATGATGATGGGAAACTGAAACCCACTCTGTGTCGGAAGCCACCCCCTCTCCCCCCTCCTCCACCGTCAGCACTTTCACACAAGGACTCAAGTCAAGGTAACTGTCCTTTGATTTGACTTTCTTCTAAACAACAGCTTTATCAATCTCATCTACTACTATTCAGTTTGTCAGCAGAGAGGGTCAGTACCTTTCCTGACAAAATCATTAAAAACTTACAGTACTGTTTAGAAAAGTTTAGGATCAGTTCTTTTATTTAGCAAAGATGCGTTAAATTAATCAAAAGTGACAAAGACATCTATAAAAATGTTTTTTTTTAATACTGTCTATTCATCAAAGAATCTACAAAAAAATGTGTATCTGTTTCTACACACACAAAAAAAAACTAACATTGATAACAATAAGAAATTATTAATTCATTACAATAGAATGATTTCTGAAGAATCATGTGACAGAAGGCTAGAGTAATGTCATCACAGGAATACATTACATTTTAAAATACACAACAATAGAAACAGTCATTTTAAATTGTTACAATATTTCACTATATTACTGATTTTTGATCAAATAAATGCATCCTTGGTGAGGATAAGAGACTTTATAATAGGGCTGCACAATTAATCAAATTTCTAATGGATGGATGCCACAATTACGTAATCGTTCAAAGCGGCAATTAATCGTTCAAAGTCCACTTATGTTATTCAGCGTGCTTAAGATGTTTTTTTCTTTCTACATGTTATCTTAAGGGTTTTTTCATTGTTTTAGTTTTAGTTTAACATTATACCATTCATATTTTTACTTTTTTATAATTTAAAGAAGAAACCAATCCGATGTATAGTTGACATTTGAGGCTTAATACTATGGAAAAGCACTAAAAAAAGCTTAAGATATTTTTTTTCTTTCTACGTGGTTTTTCCATTGTTTTAGTTTTAGTATAACATTTAGAATACCATTCATATTTTTACTTTTTTTATAATTTAAAGAAGAAACCAATCCGATGTATAGTTGACATTTGAGGCTTAATACTATGGAAAAGCACTAAAAAAAATTTCAGTTAGAGTGTTTTCAGCTTGTTAATTTTCATATAAAAATACGGCATGCAGTTGCATCAAACAATGGTATAAACATAATTCAATGTAAATTGTGATAATCGTAATTAATAATCGCAATTACAATTTCAAGGAAATATTAATGGCAAATATGATTTTTGTCATAATCTTGCAGCCCTACTTTATAAACATCGAAAAATCTTACCAGTAGCATATGGTTACAAGCCCAGGAATTCTATTAAAGCACTGTATCCTGTCTATCCTACCAATTTCAGCCACTAGCAAAAATAACCAACAATTCTCCACAATTCACCTGATATTCCAACCCTTAATCTAGTAGCACCTTCTGCCCCTTGACATCTATATTTCATACATCTTCATCTTTATTGTATGCTGCTACCCATTATTATCCCCCATCCACAGGGAGGGAGAAAAAGACAGACAAACCGAGAGTCAGAAAGCCAAAATGAGACAAAAGGAAGCAGGGAGGAGAGCGAGAGGAGGAGGGGAGAGTGGAAAACACATCAGACTTCACAGCGCTTCTGTCTAATACACCAAAAAACTCTCTTCTGAAGACCACAAGGGCACATAAACTAGCCCTGACTGACTACACCGTCACGCTGAGAATGTATAGAGGGCAGATAGAGACATAGAGGATGTAAACTGAATACTAACTATCAGCTCAACATGTTTATATAAACCTGCCAGCTACAAAGGTGCCCAAAATCTCTGAGACCACTAATAAAAATGACCATTTTACATTTTAATTTAACACAACATCTTTCATTACAAATTATGAGTATAGCAATGTGAATGAAAACATAAATTAACCCCTTTTGCTTTAATAACAGCAGCCAATGATCGTGTTCTGATCATTATATTGTGGTGACGAATTAAGAATTTGACTTAATTTGTTCCCATTTTGTAATTAAATCATGCCCGCATTTTAAAGTCACAATAAAAACAAAGTAGCGACAGAAGTAGTGCTTCTATCCATCCAAAATCTGAATGCGAGCATGTGGTCGATTGTTAAAAGGGGAGGGGTTTAAACGGACTAAATGATTGGACACTAAATGTCCACAATTCAGCTAAAGGGAACAAATTAATAAACAAACCTATTTTTTCCCCTTATGCTGTGTAGGGCTCTGTAACTTTAATTTATTACAGCATTTTAAATACTAAATTTTTTTTTTAATAGGACAAATCTTAATACAAATCTTGGTAACACTATTTTACAGTATCGTTGTTACACATTAGATGTACTTACTATAGTAACAACAGTAAATTTTGCCTATAAAACCCTATAACAAGTGCATGGTGTTAATTTATTTACAGTGTGTCTCCTTTTTATATTGATAGACATTTTCAAACAATTATCAGCCTTTGCTGTTTTTTTTAAAGATGTTAAAGACATAATAAGACATAATTTTTCAGCACAAATAAATGCTTCTTAATCAAAGAGACTGAAGCCATGCTTGGACAAAGGCTAGAAAAAGCCCGAGCGTGAAATACAAGAGCACAGCCTCATGTTGCTGCACTGAAAATCTTCCTCTTCATCACTAAAAGAGTGCTGTCAGCTCCACCACTCCTCTTTTACTGCCATCCATCCATCCATCTATCTATCCATCCATCCAACACCTTCACCGTGTCCAAGTATCCTGTGTAATTCATTGTTGTAATACAATTGAGCTCCAGCGTTTCACATCCATCCTCTCTTTGTCTCCAAGCCCATCACTAACCTCCGAGTGTAGACCAGACTGTTGTATCGGATGTCCGCGGCAGCGCCATGAGGCTCTGACTGACAGCTGAAGTACAAATGAGCCCTGACAACCGGACACACACACACACATGCACAGATTTCTGCTCTCCACCCATCCAATGCTCTCTTTCTCTATGATAACAAGAAGAAGGAGAGAGAGGGAGGGTGAGATGGAGGGAGAAAGAGGAGGAGGGGTGTTCCTCCCACTTTGTTTCCGAGCGAGGAGGCGCTCACACATGCCTCAGCATCTACCGTCTTTATATTCTTTCCCTGCATGCCAAACACGCCGCCCGTTCCCTGTCAGCCTCACGCCGAACACATTCTTAATTAAACCCCCTTTATTTATTTATAGCCCCTTTTTCACAGATTCCAGGCTTTAGTCTCATGCAATCTGCTCCCCTGGCACTCCTCGACAAACAGAGGCTGGGCCGCTGAGAGGGAAAGAGATACAAACAGAGGAGGGAAAACGAAAGAGATAGAATGACAGAAAGACAAGCATGTCGAAGCATGCAATTAACACGCTCTTTCGTTCCACGGCACAGTGTAGGTGGGGGGTGTTGGGATGCATGTGTGCGTGAGAGAGAACATCTCAAAAGGAGTTTATTTAACCACAACGGCGAACACATGTCCCGCTAACACACAATCAAACACGCTGATGAGTAATTAGCCCCTAACAGCAGCCACTCAGGAGAAAGTTCAGAGTCATGCTATGCTAAACATGCACTATGAAATTAAATGTGCATTAAGGATTTAAATGTAAAAATGGATTTTTAAGACCAAAATATGAAGTTTAGAAGCGCCTGCAGACGTACCTTTTCGACGCAGCAAAATTGAGGCTTCACATAATCACTGTTTTCATATGTAAACTGTTCCATCCCTCTCTCCTCTCCTCTTCTTACACTCTCTTTCTATCTGTCCCTCTCTCTCTAACACTCCCACTCACTGTTCCCCCGAGAACTGAGGCGTCTGCCAACATTCTCAAAATCTGGTGAGTGCCTGTGTATGTGCGTGCGCGCGAGTGTGTGTGTGTGTTGGTGCATCAGACAAAGAGGAGGTACGAGTGAGAGAAACAAAAGCTTTTTCCCTCTTGTTTGAAGATACGTCTAGTGTTTTTTGCATCGTCTATAAAAACTGTGAAACTGAATCTTTGAATTATGTCAGAGGGGTTCCAGCCGGCGGGCATTTGCAACAAGCAGCATTAATTCTGCCACGAGGCTCGTCATTAATCTTTCCAAAACGAGAATGGGTCTCCAGAGGGGTGCAAAGTGCAAAAAAAAACAATAACAACAGCCCTGTCAGATCTGAAATGTGCTGCTGCCCAGATTTTAAGCTTAAAGTTGCTGTTTACTGTACAGAATGACTATTGCTGAATTGGGGTTCCTGCCTTCATCTGTCAGAAAATGTCTATTCTGTGAAAGTGAAAACACTGACAGGATGTTTTCTGTCTTATTCAAAGAAAAGGATTCCAGGATTGCACAGGATTTTAGCTGGGCTGGACTGTAACTGTATATCTGACTTTTATTCATTATTTTTTTAAACATCCACAAAGACGTTAATTAAGGGATTGATGCTTTCTGGATTTCTGGAACATCATAGGCACCAATACACTGAATGAAGGAAGCAGTCGACACTCTTGTCTCTAGACTATGAGACAGGCTGGAGTCCGACAGTCTTTTATGGTGTTCTCCGTTAATGATTTATCAAAGCAAAATGAATTTAATGGAGCCACAAGAACTGTCTAACATTCTGATAAAAATGTTGGGCTAATGGCTCTTTGCCCATCCTCCGCAGGAGTATTTAATTAGGGGTATTAATAAGTTCCAAGAGGTCTAATCTCTACATTTCCTTCCCAGTAAATGTCCAAACAATCATACCTTAAACTGATTCTGATGTGAATTTGTAGTATATGAAATGAAATTTCAAATTACTGCAAGAGCAATTATATGGTATTATGGCTTGCACAAATGATTTTAAAATAAACCAATTAAAATTGTTTGTCAGGGCATGTACAGGAACAGGGTATTAAAAAAGATTTATAAATGAAATACATATAAATAATGATTTGTGGTTCTGACCTGGACCATGGTTTTCTAATTGGAAACCTCTAAACCAGCAATTCTCAAAGTCTGAACTCCGGTCCGGATCCAGAGAGAATTCAATCCGGACCCGCCTCCATTTCGTATTTCAAGAGCACTAATTATATTTTCTACTAATATAAGAGATGGTCCGAAATGAAAGCGAAGGCAAGATATTTAAAGTTTTCATGCGTGACATTTTTGATCATGATGACACCAAGTGAGCGCACGACGTTTGATGTAATCGGCGACACTTCACCGCTGTGTAATATGAGTAATTTTTTTTTGTTATCACTTAGATTATGGCCATTTGACTTATAGCAGTGTCCAGTGTTTCCCATACATTGATTTATTTGTGGCGGCCCATCACAATATCAAAACTGACCACCACAAATAGATTTCCCAAAAGGCTTCTACTTGGTTGAATAAACATGTGCACTAGGGCTGCACGATTAATCGCAAGCGATATTTAACGCGCATCTTATCGGTAAAGCCGGTTCTTTAATCAGCGGTAAATCTCCATCACCTGCGTGCTTTCACATTGAGCAGCATTAACTAAACAGAGCCGTTGTTCACTGACGAGCTGTGCCAAACCACGGTCATATTCGCGCGATTTTTAGCGAAGCTCGTCAGTGAACAACGGCTCTGTTTAGTTAATGCTGCTCAATGTGAAAGCACGCAGGTGATGGAGATTTACCGCTGATTACAGAACCGGCTTTCTGACAAGATGCGCGTTAAATATCGCATGCGATTAATCGTGCAGCCCTAATGTGCACTGCACGTTTCAAAATCAAAATGCGGCGCAGGTGTTTTTATATGAATGTATCTTCGAAAAGAACCCAACAGAAAAGCTCGATTTCATTTTCATTTCGTCTTTACTGTAATGCCTGATAAAGTAGCATTTGTAAGCTCAAACAGCTATATCTCCCGCTCCAAAAGCGCCTCCTGCTGGCATAGAATGAATTGCAAGTTTTGAGCCATGTATTATTATTATTATTATGAATTAGGGTACTACTACTACTATTACTATCTTGTGCCCTGCAATAAACATTTACTCATACTCTTTTAGCAATATCAGCATCGTCTAGAGAAAAACCCATATTGGTCAACCACTTTTGTTGACACTTAAATTTAAGTTTTGCTACTTTTGCACTTGTTATTAATGTATTTTGAATACAAAAGGCACTTAATTAAAAAAAAAAAAAAGTGTTGATTTGTTATGCATGTTTATAAAAATCAATTGTCAAAAAAACCTTTTGACATTGATGAAAATTCAGATTTGGACCTTTGAATGTAGACTTTGAGAACCCCTGCTCTAAACAATGCACTGAAACTCTGTTTATCACTATTTGCATCAATACTGTATTCTTGGATCAATGTTTCCCTTATGTTGTTTCCATAATTATACTTCATAATTTATATTTATATTATGTTTGGGTTAATTGGATCCTGTTTTACATTTCATGTTATGGCTGATAACTGATAAACAGCAGATTTAAAGGGATAGCCCCCCGAAAAAAAGAATTCTGTCATTAATTACTCACTCTCATTTCATTGCAAACCCGTAAGACCTTTATTCATCTTCAGAACACAAATTAAGATATTTTTGATGAAATCCGAGAGCTTTCTGACCCTGCATAAACAGCAACGCAACTACCACGTTCAAGGCCCAGAAAGTTAGTAAGGACATCGATGAAATAGTCCATGTGACATCAGTGATTCAAGTCAACAATTTCTTCTCTTCCGTTCCGTGTCAGACACATGTGTGTGGTGCTGTTGACGCATGAGCCAGCGCTCTGATGTAGAACCCGGATACGTTTTGCCTTGTTAACAAAGAGAGGAATGCACACGCATGTGCTGTGGTACTGCCATGAAGTGAACGCATGTCGAAGACTGACACGGAAGACAAGAAATTGTTCTTTTTGTTTTCTTCGTGCACAAAAAGTATTCTCGTAGCTTAATAAAATTAAGGTTGAACCGCTGATATCACATGGACTATTTTAACGATGTCCTTATAACGATGTCGTTTATTTTTGGGTGAACTTTCCCTTTCAAAAATTTATATTGTTTTGTCTAAATAAACAAAAAAGAAAACACAGAAATCTAAAGCCAATTGTTTAAAATGCTACCAGTAAATGTTGGCATCACAACATCATAATGTACAGTATGAAAAATTTATATAAATTTTGAAATTTGATAAATATTAATTATTAGCGTTAAAGATTACCTTCAAGTAAGTGTTAGATGATGGCAAACTTAAATGTAAAAACATGGAAAATAAGCATCCACAATTAAATATCCATTATCAGGCAATACCGATACATTTTAAAATCTGATATGGTGATATGTTTGATATATAGTGGATCTGTAGTTTCAAGAGTTACTAAATTAAGACAGCTTAATTCAGTTTCAGACCTGTAATTTTCAAAATCATCTTAAAGATGCTAATATACCAGGGTTCCTCAAATCCAGCCCTGGAAGGTCACTGCCCTGGAGAGTTTACCTCACATCCTGATCAACTACCTGTATCTGAAGATCTTGACCTGTTTGCTCAGGTATCTTTGATTAGGGATGAAGAACTCTGCAGGACAGTAGCCCTCGAGGGCTGGATTTGAGTCTGGGGTTGGAAATCTGTCAGATATGCACAAGAACCAGCAATGTGAGTGTGTGATGCACTGCACACTGCTACTGTCATTCCTCTGTGCCACCTCAAAAAGTATGTCTACATACCGCTTCAGATGTGGCTTCTGTGACCTAATAAATCATGCAGCATGTCTTATGATGTCTACTGTATTGTGAGGAATTTGATTTCATTTGATTTCTCAAACAGCAGTCATCTAGATTTTAAAATGGCATCAAACTCAAATAATAAGTGCAAATTCCCATAAGGCTCACCTGCGGGCCCCTCCCTCTTCAAAAGGTGGAATAATGACCACTTTCACGGTGACCGAAGTCCGCAGTAGGTCGATCATCTGCTCGTGGGAGAGTGTCACTGCGGCAACTTTGCAGATTTCCACCAAACGACTACCCTGCCGGAGTCCCGCCTGCCAAGCGAAGCCGTATTCCTCCACTTCGGACACAGTTCCGTCCAAACGCACATGGAAACCAAGCTGGCCTAAACCATTACGTCGTAACGTCATATCAACTGTCTCACAACCTATAGTCAATGCCTGCAAGGGAAAAAAAACACAGACAGGAGTTTAAAGGCATATCCCATAATGCAAACCAGTTCACTGACTGTCCATGTATGTTGTATCAGTACCTTAAGTCTCTGCACCACCTCTCTGATATCTTGCGCACTGCCCTCTGGTACCCGTAAGGCAACATGGTCTCCTCTGCCATAGAAAATCTTCAGTGCAAGTCTCTCTGCCATCCAACCAATCACATCAGCACAGAAACAGTTAAACACCACCTCTTTGGTGGAGCAGTCCGCCAGGACAATGTACTCGCTGGAGATGGCGAGAGCACAGGGAAGCTCGGCGCCTCCGCCACTGAAGTCCTGCGCAAGTACGCGCCAAATCAGCGCCCCTAAGGCACCCATTTCTGCTCCCTCACGTGCCCGGACGCGTTCCTTGCGTTTGGAGGCCAGCGAGATGAGATTGTTCAGCTTGCCAGCAGTGTCGAGTGGCGTAGTGGAAACACAGTTCTCCGCCAGGTCCCGCAGGTATCCTTGGCGCGTGCGTGTTGCCATAGCATGGAACTTCTCTGATTTGTGCGCAGCGTTCTCTGCGTTGATGATCTTGGCCAGCAGGAAAGCACGGAAGGCAGCTGGGTCCCGGAACGTCAGGCCATTTGAAGGTAGCGGTGGACCAAACGGAGGGACGTCCTTCATGCGGGTCACTGCAACACTACAGGAAAAAAAAAAGAAGAGTTTATTACTTATTTCCACCAATCCCAGCAGGTTTGTCACTCACTGAACTACATTTTCATAACATATCTCAGCAATCGGCTACAGGCATACATGCAATACTGTTCTTAGCTAGGGTTGCTATGGAAACAAGGCCAACCTGTAGCAGGTGTTGTCAGAGCAAGGGCTGTGCACACGGACAATGACGAACACGTGCTGGAAGTGAGAGCGAATATTCTGTGGAGTGAACGGTTGGGCTCCCGGCTCCTGGAATATAATCGTGACTATATCATTTCCTATGTGCCTCTTCCTCAGGAGCTGTTAGAGAAATTAAAGGGAGAATAAGTCAGAAGTTCAATGCAATAAAAACTCAGAGGTTGTTGTTGTCAGAGGTTATGTGGTTACTAGGTGGATTCTTGTCTCAGACTGGCCATATTCACTGACTGTCTGATGCATGCTGCATATAAAACTGGCAAGTACTTGCTTGATCTAACAAGCTCAACTCTGTTGGCTGACTTTATGCTGGGAGTGAGGACACACGTTTTTTTTTTAATCTGTCCATCTGGAAATAAAACATTCTGGAAGGTTCTGGTACTTTTGATAAAAACACACTCACTGGATTTGCCATAGTTCACTGTAAAAAATGATTGTAATTTTAATGGGCAAAGACTAAAAATGCTAAATGCTGCTATTAAATGGTTAATAGAAATCAGAAAGCGCTTTATTGCCAAGTATGTTTGCACATACAAGGAATTTGTTATAGTGTCACAAGCTTCCAGTACACGGAGACAACAACAACACACAGATAATAAAAATGAGATGTGAATAAAATACACATGCATAAATATAAACCACAAAAAAAGAATAAATTGTATGTACAGGTGTGGTATAGATGGAATAGGAATAGAATAAAATAAAATACTTTAAATAGTAAGTTCCATTACTATATGGTGAAAAACAGTATTAGGTCAAACAGGACATTTCACGTAGTTTTACATGCTGTCAAATGAACCATTTTTGAAAGTTAAAAAAATAATTACAGCTATCAGTACATTATAAATGAACAAAACAGGACTGCTATATTATCGTTATAGAAGTTAATGAAATATAAATTTTGTTTACTATACATTTCTGTTAATCTGATAAAACTTAAAAGGCTACTACAATATTTTTACATTAAAGCTCTGGCAACCCCAGCTGTCTTTTTTACAGTTTAGCATCACAGAGACATAAGACTTATGTGATGCACTCTGTAGTGAGATAAGAATAGGTGGTCACTTATGAGCTCAAGGCAAAAGAGGCCCATAGGTCTAATGGCGCTTTTCCACTGCACGGTACGGCTCGGTGCGGTTCACTTTTGGGGGGTTTTCCACTGGGTACAGTACCACTTCGGTTGGGTTTCCAAGTGAACCGTACCATTACCAAAACGTGACGTGTAAACTCTGCTGATCACGGATTGGCCGGAGAGAATCGTCGTTACCTGTGTCGCTGAACTTGCAACACAAACACAAAAGAACCACTAGATTTAAATCAGCACAGCCAGCGAAGGATCGAACGCAACTGTTTTGAATGAGCGCACCTTTTTTTTAACAACCAAAACATTTTGTTATCTGTTGTGGAAGTACAGACGTTCCTCTCGTTGATAGCAGAGGAGCGGATCCAGCGAGAGCTTGATGGGGCGATGCGGAATGAAAAAGTTTTTTTTAGGAGTCGTGGTAGTAGAGGCGGCGCAACTATAACGACATGTGAATAATACCGCCCACTCTAAAGCGGTACTGAACTGCAGTGGAAACACAAACCCTGCCGAGCCATACTGTGCCGAGTCGTACCATGCAGTTGAAAAGCGCCATTAATGATATTGTGGCTCCTAGATATGGCTCAGGTCTGTCCTTCAATGTAAGTCCTATGTTACTGTTTAATGCACACAATGTACCCACAAAAAAAAAAGTTATGAAAGCAAGACTGCAAGAGGGAAAGAGTAGGAGAGAGAGAGAGAGAAAGAGAGAGCAAGAGAGAGAAAGGATAGAGTGTTCTGTTGAAGGACACAGGAAAAAAAGGGAACTGGCAGAAGTATCTTCATAGATGCACAATGATTTCTGTGGTGAGAGACACAGAGGTGTGAAAAAGCCTGTTAACAGCACTGCAGCACCAATCTGTGAGACAGCCACTAAAACACATGCAATACAATGGACTAATGTTGTAAAAAGATCAAGTTACAATACTTGCTAGAATCACATTTCCTGAAGGAAATACCAGTGCATGCAAGGTTGCAAAGGTAGAGTATTTAGGTTTTAGATCATCTTTTTTAGCTTCTCTAAATGAAATGATGCATCTGGGCCACTTTGCAATTGTCACAACAACCAGATTCAACAAATTTGCTCTTTAAGAGCAGAATTTTAAGGCATCACTTCCAATGCAAAGGAGTTTCCAAATGGTAGCCAGCATAATTATTCTGCATTCTAAGATATCTCATTTTGACCAAATTCATGGCAGCATATTCATTTAATATTCATATAATTCATATATCCTCAATACAGAAAGCAATCTCAGAATGCATTGCAACAAGCTCAAAGAAATGCTGATTACAAATATACAAATTCCTTCCATGCCTAAAACTGCTCACCAACAACCAAAAATAGCGTTACCCAAATTTTTTTGTGTGCTATGTGTTTTTATGCTTATTTTGACATCATACCAGGAGCAGAAATGTGTCCCGCTATGTGCCCGACAGGTTGACTGTTAGCTTAGCAACATGCTAATGGCTCTTCTGGAACTCTGTTGGAACCATGTGAGTGAGTCCTGCACATGTTTCATTTGAGGAGTTATATTACAATACCTTTCAAACGTTTAGGGTCAGTATGTTTTTTCTTTAAATAAATTAATACTTTTATTCTGCATGTATGCATTAAATTCACCAAAAGTGACAGAGAAGAGATTTATTATGTTATAAAGTCTTGCCATTTCAAAAAAACAAAAAAAAAATGCTGTTTTGATCTTTCTATTCATCAAGGAATCCTGATCGAAAAATGCATCACAGATTCCACAAAAATATTAAGCGGCTCAGCTGTTTACAACAATACTAATATTAACAATATGAATTGTGAATATAAAAAATTATTATTTTAAATTGTAATAATATGTCACCTAATTACATTTTGATCAAATAAATGCAGTCTTGGTGATTATGAGAGATTTCTTTCAAATCAGCTTCTTTCAAATTTTTGAATAGTAATGTATATTTCAAATCAGTCATACAATGGTAATGGGAATTCTTAAATGTTAATATGTAAAGTTTTCACACAAAAAAAATGCTAAAGCATTAATCACTTACACACCTACAGCTGAAATTAAAGCTGAAACAGACAAAACATTTAAATAGAGTCTGTATGTTCAGTGGTTCAGAATGAATTAAGTGCAGAAGTTTAATAACTAAGGTTTAGTAGATTCGTTTAAACCCTAACCAGAATGTTTGAGGAATATCAATACAGTGTACAGTACTTGGCGTACAATGCAAAAAGACATCTGAAAACATTCAGGAGTGCCATTCTCTGCACTTATGTATGGAGTTGATTTGTCCATTCCAATCTGTGATCAAGGCAACATGCTCTGTGAGTTACATGGACTCATTTGAACTCTAGGAGATCTACTAAGAGAGTCGACAGCAGAGATGCTCAGAACCGATGTTTAAAACGGCAGTTAATCTACATGTAAAAATAGACCGTGAAATTAGGAGCATCTCTATGTCTCTGTGTGAAAGACTGGCCTCCAATCTGAGTCAGAGCAATAGAGGCTGCCCACCCGTTCGCAACAGAGTGAGGGCATCGGTTATATAAGCTATCTTACATTTCAACAACACACAAAGGAAAAACTATGGAAACACTAGTCTTTCTTGAATGCTGACATGGCCCTCCCTTTAATGAGTTCTAAGGGGGGACACTCCTGTACCCTGAAATTATTCTACAGCCTGACATCCCTTTCTATCTCACCGTAATCACTACAACACACTCCATGTGTTGTGCGCTTTAATAAGAGAGAGAATTACCTGACAGATAAACACTGCCCTCTGCAGCTCATCTGAGAGCGAGCAGATCAGATGAATTTGAAGTTGTCTAATTTTTGCATAACCAAATGGTGCTGCAAAAATAATAATTTTGAAATATTCTATTTATATTAAATTATATTATACAAATAATATACGTTATATATATTATTTTCTCCCTTTACAGAAGTAGTTTTCTTTGCTGCTGATATAACCATATATATATATATAACCAAAAATAAAGCAAATTATTACTTTAAAAATGTTTTAAATATTTCATCCCAATCCCCACTGAACCTACAGTGCAAATATCAACAGATAAATAATTATAGTAATAATAATATAAATGAATTTTATTTGTAATGGTCCTTTCTTATATTCAGAGTACTACAAAACTGTACAAAAAAACTAAGTAAAATAATACATAATACCTGATACATAAATAACAATAACAACAATGATTAACAATTAAAAAGTTACTAAAAAGACATGTTTTTATCTAAAAATTTGACAAAAAAGTATTTCCCTACATTATTTCCCACTTAATACTTTATTTCACTCAGATGCACATCTCACTATGCAAATTAAATGTGCAGATGGCAATTCAGGTTGTCTTCAAGTGTGTTTTCAACGAATGTTTTCATTGCAAAAAGCCGTTGACGCATATGCATGCACATGAAACTTCCCGAGGGCAGAAGATGCCACATTACTGGATCGTAATCAACAGTATGGAAATCACTAGAAAACCACACCCTGCCCCTTTTCATATGCCAGTGCATATAAAAACAGCAGGAGAACTTGACAATAACGAACCGAAAAAGAAAGAGCGAGAGCAATTCCTTCACAACCACATGAAACAAAAAAATACAGACTCTGAAAGTGGATGTCCAGAAGCTTGTGCTGCGTGAAAAAAGAGCTGCTGAATTTCCACTGGATTTACTGCAGCCACTCTATAAACTTTACTACCATTCCAGATGTTTCTTTGCAAACTGGGTCTGCCACATGCAGTACCCACCACAAACACACTGCTGAATATGAGCAAAGAAAATGAATAGCATGTAAACAATGTGCAAGACATTCTGGGAGTCTGTCCAGGTGAGAGAGAGGGGGAGGGTTGTGTCAGGATAAGTTGGGTCAGGTCGGTTCTATACAGGCTCTTGGATGTACTGATGTGTGTCTTACCTGTTGAGGATTGCTGGGCATGTATGGAAGCATGGTGGACACGTGAAACATGATCTCATAGTCCTGATAGGTTGTATACAGGGAGTGTGTTCCAGTTGAGTCCGCTGTTAAACATACACATGCATATTAATAATTATAAAGACAATGTACAGTGACAATGTCAATGTACCCCACTGGAATTATGGTATAAAAATTATAATTTAACCCCCAAATTAAAATTAATGTGTGTGTGTGTACATTTCATCATCTAAAATCATGCTGGAGAACATGACCATCAGGTTTTACTCAAAAGTTCATGCAGCTCATGTGCTGCTGTCATTAAAGCAAAAGGAGGACAAACCATACCAAATTATGAAATTATTTAATTGTATTATGTTAATTCAACCTTTCACTTAAATTGTCATGCTTATAATATCATTTGTAATAAAAACTAACAATTATATCAGAAAAATGCAAAAGAAAAGCCTTTTAGTTATCTTTTGGACACTAATATATACTAAATTACACCATATAGCGTCTATCAAGATGTTCCTACATGATTTTGGATATAGAGTGTGTGTAAACAACAGCGGTGCTTTTATCGATTCCAGTTTCAATTACACTCTCATATATATATATATATATATATATATATAGTAAAAATGCAGACATTTTTCTGTAAGGGTTGGGTAGCAGTATGTAAAAACAATAGAAGCCTATAGAATGTCCCCATTTAGATAGCCAAGTAAATGTGTGTGTGTGTGGTATGAGCATTCAAAATGTTGTTAAACAAAATTTCTGTGTGTAATTTCTGTGCTACCAAATGGAATTACAGTCTGTTTGTTTGAGCCATCCTGAGCAAGATTTTGTATTTCACTGTGAATTCATGGAGCTACCCAGTGTGACGCCTCAATTATAAACCAAGAGACCGTCAAAATGTATTTACACACTATGCTTTTGATGGTCGCGGTGGGTTTGGACAAGAACTCTGATTAACATGGAAGAGATGCGATTTATCGCTTGACACTTTATCGTGCTGTGCCTTTTTAGGACACGTGTAAGAGACACAGAAAGTCTTGCTCACTTTTGGTGTCTAGCTGGGCAGCATATTTGTTGAAACCCTTCAGACACACAGTTTCTCCCAGCAGCTCCAGGAAGGCGGTGAAGGCTGGCGTAGCCTCTTCATTGTTGTACATCTCCTCCTCCGTGCTCTGTCCTGCTCGACACAGCAGGATGCCCACTTTGTGTTTCTGACTAAGCTGTAAAGACGCACACAGTGTCAGAGTCAGACATACTAATATGAGGAACACTGCAATTGTTCATTTTTGGGGAATTATTAAAGATGAAAACTTGACTTTCATCTCTCAGGAAGTAGTGTGTCATAAAGTATCATCATTTACTCACCCCCTGCTCATCCAGTTTAAGAAGCTGCTCTGTGACCTTTGGCGTGCTGAGAGCCAATCGCAGACAGGACACGCTGAGTTCTGGGAGCACATACTCCAGAACCTCCTTTAAAGGCAAACCACGAACCGTTCCGTGCTTTGCTGTGGACAGAATTGCGTCCTCTAGGATCGCTCCTCGTAATGTGACCAGCTGCAGCAGCCACAGGAAACCATGTGGGGAGACGCACACAGACACACACACACATCAAATACCATCATATGACTGCCCAAATATCCTCTGAGAGCATGAGAATGATTATGAATAGCTGAAAAATTATGTCCAGAAGTGCCCACTGTGTGGCATCCTTTCCCCACTGCTTCCTGATTCATCGCCTTGCAGCACAACCTCCGTCACAACCTCACACACACTGATGCTAAAGCCATTAGTTACTGTAAAATTAGTACAAACAGGTGGGAACGCTGGAATACTTAAAATATTTAGTTTTTGAGGCTTGCGTTTCTGGTTTCTTGTGCCATTTGTCATACATCTGAAGACGTCATATGACTGGTCACATGGACAGCCACCCATTCGATCATTTAACTCGAACCTCTGACCAAAATAACGCTGTTGAATCAAGTTAGGGTTCAAGCACATGTTCAAGGCACTTTAGAAATGAGTTATAATCACATCTATAGCGAGAATAATGACTGTGTGAATGTGAATGAACGGAAGACGCTGCATTGTTCAGAGCGGGTGAGTTTGATGTGTCCAGGCAGCCATGTAATCTTACTAAACCCAGCAGAGCAGCAGGCATACCAGTACAGCTCAGCACTTTTCAAACACACCATTATTAAGCAAAAATTACTGTATGGTCTTTATAGCAATGTCTTGCACGCAAGGCACAAAACATGCTCAGAATTTATTTTCAAATCCAGTGTAACTACAGTGTAAAAAACAGGAGATTTGATGAGACAGATCCGTAAACATGACATGAACTAGTGTCATCCTCCTATATGTGAATGAAAATGGCATAGATGCAAAAAGAAGGCCAAAGTTCTCAAAATGATTTTATTAATTTTTTCAATGTATCGCATAACGTTTTGTGTTTTTAAAGCAACAAATCAAGTACAAATTGTCTCAGGATCATTACATTGTTCCCTACTATGCCTATAAATAAAAAGCATTAGCCCAAAAGGCCAACTGAGGGTTCCATCAAAAAGCACAAACCTCTCTCAAGTCACATTGTTAAGCCTACCAGAAACGGTTTTATCAGATTTAATCAGATAAGAACAGACAACAAAAATTTCACGCTCAAAAAGATGGATTAAAGTGGCCAGAGAAGCCCACGGACAACTATGCTTTTTTGTGGGTAAATGAATAATTTTGTCATGGGAGCTGATCCAGGTTTAATTAATTTAATTTGCACAAATATCTGTAGTTATGTTTCCATCACCCTGTTTTAATGCTCATTTTGAAGCATCGCATCAGAAACGAGTAATGGAAATGCCAAGTTTGGGGGGGGAAAAATCCCTTACTTGGCAAAAAAACCAAAAACGCTCGCTTGAGGTGGTTTTTGTCTTGTGCAAAAAAGGGTTAATTCGAATAATGGGAGATGGAAATGCATTTGCTGAAAAAATTCAAAAAATCATGTGACTTTGCTCAATGGGATGGCGTAACCTGACTAACCAGTGGACCGATCTTGTTGAACAGCATCTGAATTGTTGTTATGGTCATTCTTAAATGCCCAAGTAAAGTCTGTCATCAAAGTATTGATGAAGTCAGAACTGCGTTACCGAAAAAGCAGGCATCCACGAAAGCAATGGCCGCATTCATTTTGTTTCGTCTGCTCGCTTGGACGAAAAAGTCATTTAAATTATTATATTCAGTGGCTTCTCCCACTTTTCTTAGTGATATTTAGTGCCAGTTTATCATGAAGTGATGATTTTGTTCTCTTTGACTCGTCGGATGGAAGCGGTGCTTATTCGCAAATGTTTTATGCAACATTCTAATTTTGCGCACAAGTTAAATTCACAACTTTAGATGGAAACCCGGCTTGTGTCATACACACCTCACTGGTACGAAAGATGATGCGGTACTGGTACTGGTCCTTTAAATCTTTGGTATCATCCAGTTTCTCTCTTCGAATGCTCAGAGCCACGGGCCCCAGCTTCTCATCGGTACCAAAGTAGTTCCAGTGCTCTGTAGGTGAGAGAAAGAGAGATGGATGAATGAAAGCAGAGAGAGGATATAAAAAAAGACAGATTAATACCATTAATACAGAAAATGGGAATATAGAAGAGAAGAAAATAATTAATGAGGTGAAGACAATAGATAGGAGAAAAGTGGAAGTCGATATGAAGGATGAGAGATGGAGGGAAGGACACAGGGGACAAAGGAGGGATTTGTAAGAGAACCCTACAAATCTAGGTCACGGTGGCTATAGAACTTCCTGTAGGAGCATTCAAATCTAATAGAAAACCATAGAAAAAGCCACTAATACAATACTGGACATGCTTTTGAGAATGAAGGAAGTTATTATTCTCCTGTGTTTACTACAGTTTTTGCAGTGGAGGATATAGACCTCAAAAATGTGAACTTGCTAATTTAAGTTTCAATAACCTTTTGGTTTGGAATTTTATCATTGCTTTCAAAAGATAAACATAAATACAAGTAGCAATTCTCGGTTCTTTTCAAGTTGCACATAGCACATATGGTTTGTGCGTGAAAGAGTAATCAGTAACTCACTGAGGAAGTGATTCAAGTCCATGATTCAGGTGGATGAATGACCTGTGGTCATTTTGGCCTGATTTGAATACTGTTTAAAAAAGGACCACACTAATCATGCAATTCATCCATAAAATGGACTGCATGTTGTACTGTTTGTTTATTTTTTTTGCATGAAAATCAACACAACTATTTTTTTTTGCTATATTAATACACGAGTATCACAATTTGAGTTGAATTACTGAAATAAATGCACTTTTCCACGACATTCTGATTTATTGAGATGCACCTGTATAGGATTTACTGCATCTGATTAAAGCAGGGTTCAAAAATACCACATAGGAAGAGGCATGCGAATGTGATGTCTTTGAATTTTTAATTAAAAGATATCATTTAATATCATCATCATCAGATAATTAAAAGTTTTAATTTCTTGTTGGCATTTGGACTGTTTCCTTAATCTGCCATCCAGTTTTTCTCAGCACAGGATATGAATTTGGTTGTTTTGTGAGGATACTGAAAGCTCAGGAAACTTGAGTTAAGAGAATTATAAGTCTCAGGAGCATGCAGATATGGGCTTTTTAATAACGCAGCAAAGATTTTGATAATACGCAGAGTGTTGGCCTCCTGACCGAGGAATGCCAAGTCAGTACTGTTATATGGCTGGCACTCCAACACAAATCTACGCACACTGCTTCAGTGATTCACTGATAAAACAGGTATTTCAAACAAGGTGCCGCAATTCTGGAAAATTAAGTAAATGGATAGAAGTAATTGGAAAAATACCTTGGTGGCTTGGAATCCTTACTCATTAAGTTAAACATTTAACACTTAAATGAGAACAACAGACCACAATGAAAAGCATGGCTTAAAGTTGAAAAGAAAAAATTAAATACTTTCTTCTTTCCCAGCTTACAAGCAAGGGAGTTGCAAGTAAGCAAGCCAATAATAGGTTGATTCTCCCGACAGGTATAAAGACTGTGGCGCTTTCAAAATATCCCAATTAACCAAGTATCTCAACCAGCCTGATGCCGCAACATAAGCTATTGAAGAAATGAAAAAAAATGCACAATTATTTTTGTGTCTGCTTTTAACGCTACTTGTGGTGCAAAATTTACACACTTCACCTTCAAGAACTTTTACATGGAACATTTTTAATTGCACCCATATCCCCATGTTAAGATGGCTAAGTTAAGTTTTAAAGGGGTCATATGATGCGATTTAAATTTTTCCTTTCTCTTTGGAGTGTTACAAGCTCTTGGTGCATAAAGAAGATCTGTAAAGTTGCAAAAACTAAATTCTCAAATCCAAAGAGATATTCTTTATAAAAGTTAAGAGTCAACCACGCCTACCTAAAACGGCTCGTTCTAACACGCCCCCACATGTCTACGTCACGATGTGGGAAGATTTGCATAACGCCGCCCAAATGTTCACGCAAAGAAAGAAGGCATAACTTTTATTCTCGCTGTAGTATTGTTGCTGCCACCATGTCGTGAAGACGCTGTGTTTCGTTGTGAAAGCGAAACTACTTTGTTTGGTCTTCCAAAAGAGGACTATATCCGCTTCGTCATGCCTAGAGCTGATCCGTGCTGGTCGCTGAGGAAATACATCAATTTCGCACGGTCAATCGCCGGATCAGCTTTCACCGTGGACGAAGCGGAGTCCAGCCCGGGGTCGTCACATGTGGTTGCCGCAAGCTCACTCTAGCAATGTGCGGCCTGAAAGCGAAACTACTTTGTTTGATCTTCCAAAAGAAAACTAGAAATCAGTGGTTAAGTTGTATTTACAACACTGTTCCGGAACAGTTCAACCCAAATATTCAGATGTGTAGCACATTTTATGGAGGACTGTTTCCTGATCCTGGGAGAGTAGACTACAATGCCGGCTGTTCTGACTTAAAGACTGTAAGTAAGTTTTTTATATTAAAGAATTTGCCACTGACGATTCAAATGTGAGTTTTGAGCAGTGTAGAGTAGTGCTTGTTATTTGTCATTTCTCCGATCACAAATGAAGACATGGTTTTATGTTTCCGCGGCATGATGCAACGCGTAAAAAGACAGTATATGTCATTATAATCCATCCCCACTGGATGCAACAAATGCCTCGTTTATAATAGGTTTTAATGTTTTTGTCTCGTCGCTCCGGCCGGACAGGGCATCACAATATGGTAAGGGGCGTAACATTTCCGTCACACGCTTGAGGTATTCGGCCAATCACAATGCACTGGATAGCTGGCCAATCAGAGCACACCTCGCTTTTCAGACCGATGAGCTTTGTAAAAATCGACGCGTTTCAGAAAGGCGGGGCATAGAGGAGAAACAATAATGTACAGTATGTGGTAGGGATGTCAACAATAATGTCAACAAATGTGATTTAAACTTTAAAAGTACATTCAAATAGAAACAACACAAAGTTCTTCAACATAGAAAGCAATAGAAATGTAGTAACTAAGTCATTTCCCCAGATAATTCTTTCATATCGGGCTCTGCGCTTTGCAGGGCTGCGGGACACAGGACAGACAGGCTATTCATTCCTATAACTTGTTAATTCGTTCCTACGACTTATTATTTGTGGCCACTGTTCATGTTTCATTAATTTTGTTCCTTAACCCATGATTTAACTAAAATGAGGGAACAAATTAATAAATCGAACGAATTCTTTCATTTCCCTTAGATGCGAAAACAGTGATAAAAAAGGGAATGACAATAAAATAAACTTGCGAAATTAGAGGGCTAGACGGTGAGGATTTAGGAAAAGAAACAATGCCTAAATATTACTGAATTTGTGTAAATTCGTGACCAACCAGCAAACCAGAACAAAGCCGCGTGAATGTAGGCTATATGGGCTCGAACGGCATCCAAAAACATGGTCGCTGGCACGAATTCGGTTCATGGACTTCCGTTTATTCACCACCAGATGTCACACTTTCCATTACATTGACTCTCGCACTACACAAACTGTTGCATAGCACCCCGGACTACATTTCCCATCATTCTTTGCACAATTTGCACACTGCCCTGATTGCACTCATTGCACACAGCTGTTTCTAATTACCTCATTCACTATATAACACCCACTCTAACCACCTTTCTCTGCTGAGTATTGTTTAGCCTGTACTCCTTTCCGAGTCTCCGTGTTTCCTTGTTTTGCCTTGCCTTGTTTTGTCGCGATGTAACATTTTCCAGCTAACCAAATATTCCTCTAATAAACAAAGCTTTTATACCACACTTGTCATAATCCGAGTTTATAATTTGTAAATAAATAATTACTGGATTCAAAACAGCAATTAAAAGGTGCTGTGACCGACACTGACTATACGTTTTCCCGGAGCATTCAATGATGTCACTAAACGATGATGCCACAACTATAAGAGGATCATTCACTAGTTTCTGCATGGACCTAACTAGCCTAGGGGATGTAGGTTTTCAAGCCCTGGGACAAAATGGGATGCTTTAAGGAAAATGTATAGCCTATGAAAGCAATAGTTCTAAAAAAAAAAAAAAATTTGTTTTCATAAAAAAAAAAAAGTGAAATATATCTGGCTTAAATAATTAAGCTAACAGATTTAAAACAGAAGTGTGGCGCGGCACTCCATTAACAAGTTTTTCACCTTCAGCTGTTCGATCGCGCCGGCACCTCACCCGCACACACCCCTCATATTCTAGCAATTCAAACTTACATCGCAGTCTGTTCATTATCAAAATAAAATACAGTCAACCAAACATATAAAAGGTTACACTGGTCAGTTTAAATAGACCGTAGTATACCGGACCACTCTGCTGTTATGCCAAGGACTTTTTTGCTCATGTGAAGAGGACGATCTTGTCCGTCTATATGCGAATGCATGTAAAGTACAAGCCTAGTTTACATTATAAATAATAGTTTAACATTCAAATACATTACGAATATGGAAACATTTGGATTTGTGCCGAATGAGACGTGAGTAGTAACCTCCAAATGCATCTAGCCAAACCCGCGCTCGCTCCATCTCGTATGCATGCAAGCGCATGCACGGTCACAATCTAATGCACTGTAAATGCGGATTTTTAAAAACAAATAGGCCTACCGCAATGCAAAAATTCAAAATCTGACATTTTCCAGAACAGGATCCAGCAGGATCAAATGAAGTACTGGTCATTATACTCACATGATAATGTTTGATGTGAGCAACAGTGTGTTTTGCTGCAGCAGCGCCGATGGAAGCGGTTTACTGACTGCGCAGCACAGCCACACGCGCCACAGTTACGTTTGGGATCATTTTAGTTTAAATGCCTTAATGTCAGTTGAAAGCATTGCAATTGTGTTTTAAAATACAACAACGAGCACCACGAAACCATTTGAAGAGGTGCGTTCAGTGGTCCACATGATGGGATAGGAAACAGTCACTAAAGTAAAATGATCTCAAACAAACTCTCTTCATTTTATCAAATGATCATATAATCACATCTATTCATTTTACAATCCTGCTACTAGCATTTTATTCAGACTAAATCCCCTTTAAATCGGGTGAGAAAGCGGGGTTTTTTTTTTTTTGGGGAACTTTTGCCAATCCTGTCATGCCGGGCTGCATAGATGCATTTTGCAGCATTAAGGTTAACGATTAATCGATTAATTGATCATTAATTTAAACGACAATCGATCATGGAAATGATTGAAAATTGACATCCCTAGTATGTGGAAAATGTGTTTTTTTAAACCTTAAACCGCATAAACACATTTCATTACACCAAATACACAAAATAATGTTCTTTTTAGCAACGTCATATGACCCCTTTGCGAGTTATTAACTTGTAAGTTAAGTTCTAAATATATAAACCAGTTTGCATGCTCTTTCTGGTCACCGAAAATCTGGATGACAGAGATTACTTCTGGAATGGTAACCTTTATCTCACCAACTCCATTAAATAAACACAGACAACTAATTAGAGCATTCAGATAACCTCACGTCTGCAAGGATTTATCTAATGTGGCTAAGAGGTGACAAACATGGTATTTTTAGACATTGTGTTTTTTTTTTTATAACATTGGCATTTTAGAAAGCAAGACCTTTAGCGAGATTAACATTTGGGAGGCAGATGTGTGGCAGGGGTGCAGCTTCAGCTCCAGTTTGTGCTTCTATTGGCTAATAGCGAGAAGCATTGATAATTGTGGCATGCTTTGATAATCTCTTCCAAAGGAAGAACTGAAGGTAGAACTTGAGTTTACAGAATTTATTAAATGTTTAAATCCCAAAGACCTGTTCTGTTATGACACTAAATGAAGTGAAACCATTAAATACAGGAGTATAATTGAGAGTGGGGCAGATACAATCAGAGGTCAGAGTCACCTCAATAAGGCACTGCATTGAACAAAAATGAGGTAAACCACACAAGACAGATTGAAACTGATCCTGTAAAGACAATGGGGTTCAAATGCCATCCAATTATGATATTCTGATATAGGGCTGTCATGATTCCTTGATTCAATTAGAGTACTCGATTATAAAAAAAATCCTTGATTGCATTTTGCCCATGTCCAGTAACCGGCAAAATACTGGAAGTGGTGTATTCCACGGACGAGAATCCATGAAACTCATTAGACCATTTTCCAAGGATGCATGCTATATTAAACTCATCTGGGAACGCAACATGCACCATTTCATCAGATTTGTAAGGTAAATCATTTAGAAACCCAAGCAGACACAGGAGAATACATTAATATCTTTCTAAATATGCTAACAGTTCATCGTAACTTCAGAATAAAAGTTCAAACCCTCACGCTGAGTTTGCACATTTTGATGTCCACATATTCAAGAAATGACAGTGTCCGTACCATTTCTGTCTTAAAGAAATGGCCAAATATTTAAGATTAAATGGACATTTGAATTAAATGTTTAGTATTAAACAAGGATTAGATCGCGCAGTAAAGTGTAAAAACAATTGTCAGGCCGTTGATGTCCGACAGCTTAACAGAATCACCGGCCCGAGTCCGACCCGAGCCCGACGCGAGCCCGTCTTTTTTTTCTCCTTCTTTCAAAACAGCTTATACTACTGTTCCAGCTATTAAAATAGTTCAGTTTTGTATGTAAATGCAAAGTGATTATATTTCATTCCGTTTTTTTATTAAGTTAATTTAGAAAAACGTTTGGAGCATTGTTTGTTTGTTAAATATAAGTTTTAGTTTTTTTTAAAGTAACGACCAAGCGGCCAGAGGCAGACAGTGAGCATATGTTTGATCAATTTAGCCTTCTCAAATCATCACAACTTGCCTAAAATAAAATCTATAGATCTAAAACAGTTCAAACATATAACAATGTTTAAATGTTAAACCTAGATAAATGGGCGCTATATCCAATATTTTGTGCGGAGAGTGGAAGCTGAAGCACACTTTGCAGGACATGGAGGTGCCAGCGCGATCACTTGCATTTTTTTCAGTGAATACGCCGTAATTTTTGCTCATAAAGGTAAGAGTAATACATCATTCATAACTGTAAAGGGTTTACTTTTATTTGTGTGCACTCACAATATCAACAAAACGTTGTGCTTTTATAAAATAAAGAAAACAAACATTATGCGCTTTCTGCCGTCTCGTCTTGAACAGGCGCGCTTCACAAAAATGAACCAAAACGCAGCGAATACATGCCTCACAGACATGATAAATATATGTATAGAAAGCTTTAAATTACTACTTAACGAAATAAAAAATCAAAAACAAAAACTCTTTCATCATAATCATAATTTGATAAAAAAGATGCACTTCTCTCTAAAGGTGCGTCTAATGAGGAACGAGATGGCGAGTCAGGATCGGCAACTTCATCCTTGCGACACAGACTCCGAAAACACTATTTATTAGTAAATAATTCAAATATCTCTGTCCTCTTTCCTCCTGACACATTTACGGTAATTACTTTTGCCGATGCTTTGCGGCAAGCTTAAGCATATTGCGTGCATTTGAACGCAGAACTCTTCAGCTGCGCTGACGGCACGCACCATACATACTGCTGCTGCTGGACACTAAACACCGTAGAGCCGCTCTTGACAGTCGCTGTAGCACGGTCTCGTGTTGTTTCCATCAGCGCGGCAATTTTTTCATCACTAATTGATGGATGTCTAAAATATAAAAATAAGGAGAAGGCTAAAACAGGCCCGAGGCCCGGCCCGCGTCTGAACTATGACGTGAAAATTGGCCCGAAGCCAGGCCCGAGGGGGTGTAAAAAATTCGGGGCCCATCGGGCCCAGGCTGAAATGCAGGGCTCTACAACACATGATGTATTTTCATTATAGTTTTGTTCAATAAAACAATATTACTTGCTTTTGATACTTTATTTGAACCAATTATTATTGTGCCATTGCTATTATATATGTATTTTAAGTCATTTTAAAGGCTATTGTTTGCTTAGGTCTATTTTTACTACCTCAAAAAAATTTCACTATAATTATCCGATTACTCGATTAATCATCAGAATAATCCACCGATTTCTTGATTACCAAAATAATTGTTAGTGACAGCCCTATTCTGATTCATTGTATATTCTGATATATGTAGTCAAACTGACAAAAATTAATAACTTACAAACAGGGAACAGTCTTGTGATCTATCGCTTTTATCAACATAAACATCATCAATGTCCTACCTTTCCCATAGAAGTGCTCATGGTAGTATCTGGCACCCAGGTCAACGTGCTCGATGCAGTGTAGCTGTAGTCTCTCTAACCTGGTGGCTTGAACCTCTGGTGGCACTTCCAGTTTGGACACACTGGCATTACTGCAGCGTGGACGAAGCCGGGCCTCCACGATGCCAGCCTCTCCCCGCTCCGCCCATGAGCTCAGAAAGCTGACATTCCGTTCCCTGTAGCTTCCGGTCTCATTGATGAAGTGCGGGCAGCTCAGCAACAGCTGGTGCTGAGAGTTGGCATTAACGCTAGCTGAACCACCCTGCTCTGAATGTTCCAGTACTGTGGTTGATCCTTCCGATAGGTCCCTGACACTGAGGTCATCAGTGCTGGAGAAGCTGGGCTCCACTCCCCCCAGAGCAATAGCTCTGGAAACTGCCAAAGAAACAGCAGCCGAAGAAGCAGCTGAAGCTCCGGTGGCTGTGTTTCGCCGCTGGGCAGCGTAGCTGCGACGAGCTGCTGCCTCGTGCAAGTCAAACAGAACGCTCTGAGCATCAAAGTGGGCAAAACTCCGCACACATACCCAGGGTTTGGAAGACAATGTCTCAGGGGGTCGTATGTCATCCGAGTCGCCTCGTGGAGTCTCTGTTTCTCCCCGGCTGGAGCTGCGGAGTTTGCGGAATAAGGAGGAGGTACCAAGAGATGACTCTGTGCCACCACTCTTTTTGCGTACACGATTCTCTGGGCGGTCATCAGGCCGTGGAGTCGACAAGAAGGCGTGTGAAGTGGGTCCCTCTAAAGAAGCACCAAGCAGATCTCCAAGCTTTACAGGGGCTGTGCTACGCTGGTCTGGTCGCTCCTGTTGAAACTGGCTGAGCATGTCAAAGAAGCTTTGCTCAGACACTGCCTGTACATTGATGGAAGAAGTACTGCCATATTCCCGAAACAAATGGCCTTCGACCTCTGTTTCATCTTGTTCACTCAATGTTATCTCGCTGTTGGAGCGCTGTCGGAGTGGAGCGAATCCAGATGTCCGAAACCTTGGTGGTGTGCCTGGAGCCCTCATTAGACCTGATTCAAGGAAGTCACCATCCCTGGTACCTCGCTGTGGTAACCTGGTCACACCTCCACGAGTAAGCCCATCCTCGCTGTTGAGGTCATCCGGATGACTGCCCTGGCCATTCTCAAGCAGCGATTCTCGTGAAAGTGCCCTGCGAGGAGGCCACTCAGCAATTCGAGCTCGAACCCCCATTTTGGGCACGGAGACACGGGACGGGGCTGGTTCGCCCACGGAAGAGTGGCCATTATGAAGGGGTAGACGGAGGTGGGGTGGAGGAAGAGGTTGAGAGAGAGGGGTGGCACACACCCCTGTGTCTCTGTACATGTTCATGGAGCCCACTGTAGTCTCAGGGCCAAAAAGGAGGGCAGGGGTCGTAGGGGAGAGAGCATCCTGGATCGATACTGCTGGTGTTCAGTGAGAAGAAGAGATGGACAAGCTCCACGCTGCTGTTGCTTCCTCCTCCCACACTCATTTCTTTGGTAGGAAAGGACTCACCTTTCCTAATCCTTCTGGACCAACCTGGAAGCTCAAAGGCCACTTAAATCACAGACCTGCAAAAAGGAAAGAAACAAAGAGACATTTGGTATTATATATTTCATCCGGTTACTTATATTCAACTTTTAAAAAACATTCAGTTGTGCTTTTCGGGTTTGGGATCTTTTTCCTTTCCTTACACTTACTCTAAGCACTCTAGAGCCCCTACTTCCTGTAAACCTTCTTCCCTAATATTGTGATGTTTATTTTGTTCAAGGGATGAGCAGTTTTGAGAACAAAATGCAGAGAAAAGCTGACTGAAACTAAAATGAGAAAAGAGGTATAGGATGAAAAAGAGAGACAAGAAAAAAAACAGGCTGAGAGGAGAGAGAAGAAGTGAGGTGAGAGGATTTCAGACGTGGATTTCTCACACTCTTTTGAGGCTAATTAATCTCTATTCCTCTTCCTGGCAGATATTCTGTATTACAGCCACAAATATCACTTTGCTAAGCACCACAAACTCATCTCTCCTCTCATATCCATCTTGCAGTGTCTATACTGTTGGTATTTAATGATGCACTGTGTAAATATACAGCATTTACCAAAACCTCTAAGCAAACAACTATAACACCTAGTTGTACACGCTAACCTAGCAGCTGGCCCTTCAATATTGTTGTGTGATCTTGATTTTGGATGTAAAGGAGCAAACCCAAAATCTGAAAATGTTAAAGAGCAGATGAAGGTGTTTATTAGTAAAGGAAGTATTACGCCAACTGACAAGAGTGATGCTTATACCACGCCTACTACTATATGAATACACACCATGCTCCTCCGTCAGGTGCAGACAGTTTTAGCAGCCATGAAACCCATGACATGTATGAAAGATGGAGTCGTTGGGTCAGCAAGTAAAGCATCCCATTACCTAAAAGATAGCTGACTTAGAAAGTAAGATTAAGATTCTGCCCACATTCAGCTGCATACAAAAGGTTACATAACAAGGACTCTGTGCTGGATTACTGATGGGATCTGCGGAGTGTATAATGAGGTGGACTGTTTTACAGGCTTAACGGAGAATGGTGAAGCATAGGATTGTAATACACTCTAGATTTTGAATGAGACACTCAAACTTTGTGACGGAGAGAAAAGCCCCTCAAGTCTCTGGGTCTCTCCACATGCTTCATCCCTTGCTGTGAACAAAAGACAAAACAAAACTGACAGAAAGTCAAAGGACAAGACAAACACAAAAAGACAGGATACTAGGCAGAGGCAGAAGCAGAGCAAACAGACGAGCTGGAAGAGAGGAAACCTGACAGGCTTTGTGGTGAAGGAATCCAGGCAGGAGAGCGAGAGGGAATCTGAATCCCAGTGACTCGCTTTAATATGAAAGTCAGATTGAATCAGGCTTCACTGTAGCTCAATGACTATGAAAAGCCACTCAGCAACGCCTGTTCCTCTGTGTAACTTCACGTTATCTCCCTTTTTATTGTCTCTCCCCATTTCTATCTATTAGTCGCCCATGCAAATATTAGATTACACATCCACAGCTTGTCTCTCTATTTGTGATAAGGGGGCTACAGACAGTAATGGCGATGTATGATACATCTGTCCAAACATCAACAGGGTTCATTTCAATCCCATTGTTACTGTTATCTGCGTACAGGCCAAAATACAGCATGCTATAAGTCAAAGATTAATGTCATCTACAAGAATGTTCTCATATCACATATCTCTCTGAGGCTCAATCCCACCTCAAAATCCATCCCTTCAGGCAGAGGTTCTCCAATACTCTTCATTTCAAGGTCAGTCTCAGTTTAAGACATGAATGTCTACTGCCAGCATAGGCAGCTACCACTTAATAGGGGTGGGGGAAAAAATCGATACAGCATAGTATCGCGATATTTTCAGCGGCAATACTGTATCCATACACGGATGCCAAGTATCAATCTTTTATTATACTATTTGGTAGAATAATAAAATCTATTTCTTTACAGCCCACTAGATGGTGGTGTTGAGTTTTTTCTGGTGAGGTCAGCTGGGTCACCTTCAGCATGCAGTAAGTTAGTAAAATAAAGATGGCGCCATGGCAGAAAGTTATCAGGAAAGCCCCGTCCACGTTTAAAATTTATTTTAAATAGAACAGTAATTTACTTTCAAATGCTGAAGGGTCTGCACAACATTTTTGTACAAGTTCAAGTTGCATTGTTCAAAATTAAATTTTACATTTAATTAAGGTGGACTAGATTAGACTGATGCGGTCTACACTGACAAATCCCCGACAGAAAACTGCTGCTGCGTTCTATTTATGATGCACTGACTAACACAGTTCAGATGATTTGCAAAGGTCGCTTTGTCGCGTCCAGTGTAGACAGACTTTAGCTTTAGACTTTAGCACGACAGATGTTGTGTCCGGTGACACGGTGTCTGTGTGTGAGCAAAGAAAACGATCAGTATAGATATAACGGTCAGTATACTAAACATTGCGATATCGATGCTGAAACAATATATTGTGCAGCCCTACACAAAATGGTATTTATTGTTTGAATTTCTTTTAAAAAATGACAAAATTTGAAAGTTGACACTTTGTTTCATACCAAAAGTAACCTGCTTTTTCTTGTCTGTCGGCGTGTTGTAAAGGGTCCTCTTTGATCTGCAATGTATTTGTGACTGTGTGAGAACATGATGTGTGGCGTGACAGCGGCATGGCTTGTCGGACATAGCAACAGGCGTTGGCTCTGTGCTAGGGCTGTGCGATATGGACAAAAAAAAACCTATCGCGATTTCTTTGATCAATTTTGCGATTTCGATTTTAATCACGATTTTGACACACACAGACATGCTTTACAGTCATTAATGCAATCAGTGTGAATTTGAAACATATTTCCAAAACAAACCCAATTAGAGCTTTATCAAGAAGCTGTAACATGTCTCTAGAACAGACATAAGGCAAAATAATCCCTAAGTAAAGGTGTAACAAAATGTCTCCAGAATAGACTTTTTTTTGCCATGCATTGGTCATAGAGCTCTTTGTGGCGTTGCCTCAGATGTTGAACTAGATTTGTTGCACCAAGTTCACACGTACTCTGTCTGCAGTGCGTATACAGCCTATGTGCATGCGTTGCAGAAACAGCATGGACTCATTTTGCTTTCGCACAGGACGCGTTTGCAGTCCGCTCCTGATTTGCGGTTGCTTACCACAGACACAACATTTATCCATTATTTTGATTTCAAATCCAAACATTGTTTCTGAAAATGCTTTTTCAGCATTGTTATTCTCTTTTATCACAGTACAGTAATACAATCTTTCATAGACATATTCACGTTTAAACTCAATAAATATAACTTTGTTTAACTACCCCCATGAGTGCCATCTATTATTGCGTTGTTTATCTAAAAGTGCACTTTTCCTTGTTTTAAATCTAGCCAAAAAGCCATGTGTTGACTGTGAAACAGTAGACTTTAATTATATGCATTTATGGTGTAATTACTAAATTTCCGTGTCAATCCATGAAAATTTTTACTGCAAATAATGCGCTGTCACTTTAATTAAGCACGTGCAGCACAGCAGAAATAGACTCTGTGCTCCTGGAGCGCACTGCCGGACCGCAATCGCGTGCAGTGTGAACGCTCTGATCCGTTAACATGGGCGCGGACAAAATACACACCACAGACAGAGTGTGTGAACCTGGCGTTACGTTTGTATGCCCGCCTGGTCTGTTCTGTTCTCATGCTCCATTTAGGCACGCTGCATTTTGATTGGTTCGAATAGCATACTGCGGGAGTTCGGGGGCGTGGAAAATCTTGCTGTAAAGCGATTTAGAAATCGCGCATGCTCAAATCGCGATTTTATGATGATTTCAATTAATCGCACAACCCTAGTCTGTGATAAGTGTCAATAGATTTCCTTACAATTTTATTATTTTCAATAATTAAGAAGAAGAAATAAGAAATTCAAGCCGAAGAGCACCTTTTGTCCTCATGTCACAAATCCTTCAATGAATACCTTTTGCAGATTGGTGGAAAGAGATGTTGAAAAATTATTTTGTGACTCCCCTGTAAAGCAAAAATTTAATTTATCGAAATTAGAAAAAGATGCTCTTGATAAATTATGCAGAGACAAGGATATAGTGGTTAAACCTGCTGATAAAAGGGGGTGGCTTAGTAATTTTGCCCAGAACTCTTTACAATTCTGAAGTTCTCGACAGTTACAAAATATCATCAACTATAAAGTCTTAACATCAGACACTACCATACAATTTCAAAGAGAAATAGAATTTTTTTTTAAGATGGCACACTTGGAGGGTTTGATTTCTGAAAAAGAATTACAGTATCTTTTCAACCGCTCTCTCCACCCAAACCTGTATTCTATATCTTACCCAAAGTCCACAAAGATAAAAAAAATCCTTGTGGACGACCTATAGTGGCAGGTATTAATAGTTTGACAGAGCCACTTTCTAATTTTTTGGACTTTATTTTAAATCGTCATAATCATATGTCTATTTGCTTTCATATTTCATGTGTAGAAAAAGAGTGAAAGTCTTTTACATGCAAGGAGTGCTCATCCCAGGTCCTTGAAACGTGGTCTGCTGTATAGTCAGTTTATGAGACTTTTTCGCATTTGTTCAAACAAGGATGACTTTGAAGCCAAAGCCCAGAACTTATATAGTGATTTTAGATCTCGGGGATATCCAATCAAGTGGCTAGATACTACATTAGACAAAATTAGATCTTTGCCAGATGATACTAACTTGACCTCCAAAAATAATAAGTTTTCTTGTGTTTTGAGTCTAGAAATCAAAAAGGCAATCAATAATCATTGGCATATTATACAGAGTGATTGTGATTTGTCAGGCCTGTTCACTGATTGGCCAACTCGTATCTACTCTGTTTAGAAAGGAAACTTCAAAAAACAGTCTTTTATATGCAAGGAGTGCTCATCCCAGGTCCTTGAAATGTGGTCTGCCGTATAGTCAGTTTATGAGACTTTTTCGCATTTGTTCTAACAAGGATGACTTTGAAGCCAAAGCCCAGAACTTATATAGTGATTTTAGATCTCGGGGATATCCAATCAAGTGGCTAG